CTCCTGGATTACTATGATGACTACTATGATGGTACAGTTTACCTGGTCATGTAATACTAAAATAATGAACACATGCTATGCTAGGTTATCAGTTAAATCGAAAACGAAAAAACATTTATCGTTAGTATTACTATAGAGGTTTAATTATTATAATGTTCTTAATACATTATGGAAACGCCTCTAAATACAAATAAACCTAAATATTAGTGAAGATGAGTGGTGAAAATGCCTTGTGCATCTTTTAAGACCCAGATCATTATTTATTTCCTTCACCAAAACCACCATTAAATAACCAAATCATCGAGGGCAGCTGGGTTAATTGTTTAATCATATAACATATTTTTCTCAAAATTAAACCTAAGACTTTTTTATTACTAGCCAATCCATCTATCTAATGTATTCATGTACGATTTTTCCGTTGTTTAAAACTGTTAACACATGAGTTTATATTTCAAAACGTTTCGTAAAACAAAACCACAATTGAATCCAATATAGTTATTTCTAAAACACCTGACAAACAATACAGACAATATATTCAATTAGGCCCTTTTAGAAAGTAATGTAGTATAAATGTAACCAATTGGTTGAGAAACTTAATTGATTGCATTCCACATTAGCTTGTTAACTGTGTTATAACCAAATATATAATTCATATATATTTTTTTTATTATTGTTGGCTTTATTTAGTAACTAGTGGCTTGTAGGGGCAATAGCCCCTATATATATATTCTAGTAAATATTTTGTACAAATTATTAGTCTCATGGGTTACCCTACCTTGAATTATCGTTTAACATTTTTGTATATTATAATATGTATAAAAGTTATTACATACCTGCATAATGCAATTTTTTGATGTCTGTTCTGTTTAAAATATAGATTCCAAAGGACTGTTCATGTAGTGTGTTTATAATACAAACTTTCTAATCATTATATACATCTAAGGAAGATTTTCAATAATAATCTTCATGACTATTAATTAAATATTTATCAATTCCTTTGAATATAGACAAATTCACTTAAATAAAACACATAGAGATAATGTCATCCTCCAAATTGTATAATGCTAATTATAACAAAATCTCTCTGAAAACAACAGAGTATAGTATCCATTTTAATCGAACCCTTGGTCTTTATTTTGTTCTAGTACTATTTTAACAGCATCTGGCAACTTTAACCAGCTAAAAGCTACATAAAGTTGACCATGGGTAAACACGGGTTTTTTTCAAATAAATACCAACTTTTTGAAGGTTTGGCCTTGCGCTTTATTTATAGTAATATCGAAAGCTAATCGCAATAGGAATTGAATTCCTAAACTTAAACGGCATATTAGGATCTTTAGATGTTAGTTTTATTTTTGGCATGAAAAATATGTTCCCTTTGCCTACTTCAGTAATTACTTCTAACTTTACACTTTTTTCAGACATACCTAACACAACTAATCTTATTCCATTAACTAATCCAGACCCTGGAAAAAGTCTATATTTCCAATACCTTACCAATACCTTAGTAAAATATAATTTAATAAACGGATGTAACCGTATCCTAACTTTATGGACTTTTACTTTTTCATTAATTAGTAGTAGTGGTGTTTTAGCTTTTTATGTGATGCAGCTCTTTATCTACACTAAAAACTAAATTTCAAAAAATTTATTTTGAATGGAAAATTGGTTTTACAGTACTGATTAGTTTTGATAGTCTATTCTAATTTTGTATATATGTTTATCATTGGATTGCAATTCAAACAAAAAAGATTAACTGGAAATTTATTTCCATGTATTATTTCTTTAGAATTGAATATTCTGTTTTTATATGGATCTTTATAAATGATAAGCTTTCATTAAAATACGTTATTTATTCTTATTTTATTTTTATTTTTGCTGTTTCAACGACATCGCAACATGTACAAAGTAACAGTTAAATTTAAAAAACTTGAGTTGGTTTATTGTAGACAAATCAATCACGTAAGTTAGTTTCTTTGAAGAAATCGGAATGAAGAGACAATTTAAACCAACATCAGTTTTACTGCCGTGCCTACTTCGTACATCATTAATTAAATGTCTCAATCTTTCAGGAAGATATTAGATCTGTTTGGTAGATGAAGCGACAGACCTTCAGTAATCGATCAAAGTCCTCAATGTAATTGAACCAAACATCCTGCATCCTTTAATCCTTCCCATCTTTCTCATCTCTGTACACTTTTACTTCCGGACGATTTTGAGCTCTAATGTTCAGCGGTTTAGGTACAAAGTGATGTAACTTTTTATAAAAACACTAGCTGTAGCCGCGGGCTTTGCCCCGTTTAACTTCACAAGTGAGCTCGTTCGCATGGCTCAATCATGTCCATTTAGCAATTTGTGATGTCATTTTTACCAACATTAACTTTGTGAAAAGGATCACCGGTTTGGATTTTAGTAGTTTTTTTTTTACTTAATTTTTTTTACACATTTGAATAAACCTCTCACAGATTGTGATACAAAATAAGCTATATTTAATTTTGACAGTCAAAGAAAATTAAAAAAATATTGAGGTTAACTTTTTTTAAGTATTTGACTTGTTAAAAAAATTAAAAAATCATTTTCCCCACGAATCAACTCCTTTTTAAAATAAAAACTAACACGGATCATTCAGAAAATGCACGATTAAAATATTTCATCTTAATTGAATCAGTGCCTCAAATATATATACTCAACTATACTTTATAATATGCAGTATCACCAATGATACAACCAATTTTGGTTTAAAATTGTAACATATATTACAAAGTAAGGAAAAGATTTAAGTTATTGAATCATAATACTCGAAATCATAAACCAAACAACCATTTTTGTTGTCTAATCATTTTAATGTCATCTCAAATACATATTTTGCGCACTTTATAATGTTATCAACCAAACCATATACGCAGTATCAACAATGACGTAATATATAGAACCTAATACAGTGTGGGTGTCACGTCGAATTAACCCTAATGAAATTGCATCGCAAGCCAACTGAACTGTATTGCAATGTATGTGTGTATTGCATACACCCTATAAATTGGACTTTGTTGGACTTCGTTGGGACTTTGTATTGTGTTTATTGAGAATAATGTTGCCTGCATTGTTAAAGCAGATTTAGTGAAAAGGTATTTGTGAAATAATCATGACTCTATGAGACTAAGACTCTTATTATTTAGATATTATCATTCCATTATTTTGTCAGTTAGAATCTTAATAAATATTTAGATATTGTTAATTAAAAATTTTCATAACTATAAATATTCGATTATGCAAAAAAGGAAGGTGCACCTCAGAAGGAATCCTTTTATATAACTCAGAGCCTCAACAATAGTAAAACCGACACAATCAACTAAGAGCTTTTTGCAGCATCTGTCCGCTGAGTTTAACCCAAAATAGTTTAACAATTGAAAAGAGTGAGATCTAACGAAAAAGTTGGTTTGCCCTTAATACTTTAGGTACTGTTTTAGGTTCTTTTCGCAGAAAATCCCTGCATCCTTTGAAAACTTCTATAAGTTTAGAGGCTCGTTAATGTTTAATATATATGTTAGTTAACAAGCAAAGAAACACCAAAACATCAAATAAACATGTGTTCAGGATTCTAATATCCTTGATACGTATGCAAATCTCTGTTTATAGGCTTCTTAGTTCATATTAGGGTTTTAAGTAATAAAATAATTTTGTTTGAAATCCAGATTTATAGTTTATTCCATGGTAAAATAAATAGACTAATAGGAGTTTTGATTCTGTTATTTAAGCACTCAGGTCACCCATTATTATTCACATACTGTAAATTTTATTCATCTAATTAAACTTTTTAATTCGTAAATATAAAATAAGGCTTTAAAGATTCAAAGCACTTTATTCTTTGCACTAGCTTTCACGTCAAGCTGTATCTTACAAGGCAGATAAAGATGGTAAATCTGCTGCAAGAAATCTGTCAGATGAATTTTTAAAACCGCTTCGTCTTTGGTTTGTACGTTCCAAGAATATTTTTTATTTGTGAGACATATTATCTTTAGTGATTTTGAAATGGGTTTATTTTTTGAATCGCCATCTTCAGGTTCTTGCTATGAAATGAAGATTTGTAAACTTAAAACCACGATTGTGTTCTTTATTGTTTGATAAAGATAAATTGGCCCACTTATCGTTTTATTTGAATTTTTTTTATATCGTACGCAAGAAACATTTACAAGTCCTTATTTGGAACAGTTTGAAGTAGCTATTTAAACCATACTCCTGCGAAACAGTGATTTTTCCCTATGATGCATTGTTGTGTTAAAGTAGTTATTTTTATTCAAAATGAGGAGGAAAATCGTCTGGCGTTTTATTATGTGTTGATTCTTAAAAATATGAGAGAGCTAACATAGAGTACGAGAGTTAAAAAACAATCTATAAAAATAATCTAAAGAAAAATAGGTGTTAAAGAGTATACATTGAATTAATCTTTGACATTATTTTAGTTTTAGTTTATGACACCTAAATTGTATTATTTTAGCATCGATGAACTAATAAAAGACACGGAAAGTAAAGATAATTTTGAAATAGCCAAAGTTGTGAAAAGTCTCTTTTTGATAGTTTTCCACAATTACTAACTAGTAGAAACAAACATAACTAAGCGAAAAAAAAACTTTACTCTAAGCAAGGTCAATAATAGTCATGACCTTTGGGGTTTTAATGTTATCTGTTGATTGAGACTATCATACTTAATGACGTATCTAAGTTAACAATAACGTAAAATACACTATGGATAATAACAAAGGATAAACGACAAGGAGGAAATGATGCTCTCACCTGAAAACGACACAAATGATCAGGACAACAATGTACAAAGAGGTTTTGTCGTTAGTAATTTTACTTTCTCTTGGCATCGCCAGGGGTCGTAAGTAAATGGAATCTCGCTGTTAAATTAAAAATGAACAATAAGTAATGTCTTAAGCCTAATTTTAGTGTTTAGTTACATAGACTTTAATGAAATTTAACTGATCATGTAATTTTTGCAGCGCTGGTTGTGAGATTCATCACTAGGAGGTACATAGGAGAGTACGACCCTACCTTAGAGAAAGTGTATACATTCCATACAGTCATGGACAACGAGATGGTATACTTCGAGATTCTAGATACAGCTGGTCAACCACATGTGAGTAATTCACATTTACTAATTATAATAATTTTATTAGGTTAATGTATAACGGGCATGCATCTACCCCATAACTATTATCAATCTTAATAACTGGTGTTATTAAGTTAAGTCTGTTAATTACTAACTTGACGTTATGATATTTATGATTACCTTTGTTAAAACATGAGCTGAAGACATTAAATTGATATTCATAAAGTTACTGTACTTGATTCAGTTAATTCGTCTATCTTTTCCCACCAATACTGCAACCTTTTCAAGCATTTCCCACCAAAAGACACTGTTTTCTCAGTGTTCGCCACCAAACCTGACGTCTTCCAATTATTTCCCGCCTAAATTAGCATCATCAGAGAAAACTGTAGCATTCCCCAACGTCTCCCGCCTAATAACACCTTCCTATCACAAAAAATAACACCTTAGCGTCTCCCGCCTAAACTGGTATCTCCCGCTAAAACTTCAGCCTTCCCTAACATCTCCCACCAAAACTTCAGCCTTCCTATATTTTCCCCTAAAACATCAAACCTCCTTAGCTTCTCCCACCAAAACCATCTGTTTTCCGCTAAAACTTCAGACTTCCCCAGCGTCTCCCACCAAAACTGCTGTCTTCCGCCAAAAATATTCTCTATAAAAGCCACGTTGGACCTCAAGTGACGGCCTCAACTACTCAGCTGTATTTAATGTTCTGTTTCAGGAAAGTGAGTGTTTAACCCTGGAAGCCAACATACGCTGGGCCGAAGCCTTCATACTAATGTATTCCGTCACTGACAAATGCTCATTCGATGAATGCAACCGACTCAAGTTCCTCATCAACTACAATAAACGAAAAAGACGACTAAACAGCTCAAAGGTAATATTTATCGGTATAAAGGTAACAAATCATGAAACTATATGTTGTTTGCAAATTCGATTATTTATATTTTGGATAAGATGAATATTACAGAAAAAAGTGTTGGCCTTATTGTCATTGACGTTAATGCTACAGGTTTAACTTTTCAGAAGTACACTCAGCTTAATAGATTGAATTGATATTCTTAATCTTAATTTAACTTAGTTATTTAATTTATCTTAATTTAATTAATCTTAACTTTTTTAGTTAATTGTGTATGCCTTTTTGTGAACAGAGCTATACAATAAAGGAACTGTTATCACTTAAAAGATGGTTTTTTATACTTTTATTTGTTTTTAGTAGCACTTATGTTTGAATATAGTGATTCGAATCAAAATTTTGATTATTTAATTGTAGTGTATCGAATTTGGTTTATAAAATCAGACTCTCCATCCTAATTTTTTAAGTCCCAATTCGTTGGTTTCTACCAAATAACAAATAAATAAAAAATGTAAATAAATAAATAAATAATAAATGTTCTTTTTGCTATATTATTTTAAAGTAAATATATGAATGCCATCTCATTATTGAACTTTGAATAAGAAAGCAAAAGAGAAAGAAAAATATCCTGAAATTATAAATTTATTTATATTTTCTCCGAATTATTTCAAAGTTAGTCAAACAATAAATAAATCGATTCACTGAAACTTAAGGGGATCTACCACCTTTAAATGACAATTTTTTTATTTAGTAAGTTAGACATTTTTTATTCAGGTATTATATTTAGGACCTTTATTTAATGAGTTTTTGAGGTTTAAAATTTAATTTTCACCTTTCGGTTTTTTTTTAGCGATTTATTTTAGCGTTTGTAGGTACATTGCTAAACTTTGAATAACTTTTTTATTTTTAGATCAATTGTAATGATTATTGATTTATTTTTATCCTTATAATACCTAGAAACGTTTTGGTCATTATAATTAAAATACAATTTCAGCAGAAAAAGTTACAAGCAATTATATTTTTAAAATAAAAATGTTTATTTTACAAATAAAAAAAATCATAATTATTTTATTTTACTAGCTATACAATTTCTTATGACCAACTATCTCAGTAATATAACAAGGAACAAGTGGTAAAAAGTTTAATGGCTTATCTATAATACTTTAAAAGTTATTCAAACATATGTAATAAGAAACACGGAAAAACAGAACTTGCGGAAAACGGGCTTTAAAGTAGACTATAGCGTTTCTATAGCAATTTGTAACAACTTCTATTTTTTAATATTATTTAAATAAAAAATTGCCAGTTCGTCTTCATATTTCACCCATATACTCAGAAAAGTATGCAGAAGAGAAAAATAACATTTTTTTTTTTAATGTGAAAAACATAAAAAATTTACCATTTAAAGGTGGCGGATCCCCTGGACATAAACTTTTCTCGAAATTATTGTCTTAAGCCGACCCATAAAGATAAGATTTAGTTGGAACAACCTAATATTTGCTATTATTTGTTTGTACATTTACTAGAGTGACATTTCAAAACTTAAATTCAAAGAAACTATTTCTAAATTCATAGTACCATCTAAGAACATCGACTCTAATAGATCGTCAACACTTCACATCACTTCAAACTAAGATTGTGATCTCCGAGTGATGTTGTAAGAAGTGAAAGACTTTTATTGGCAGAGAAAGAGACAGAAAGATTTGTAATTAGTTTTCGTCTCCCCTGACACTATTGATGTTCTCAATCAAGGCCAATCTGTGCGGTTCCATTATTTATGGAGTTCTTTCCAAAGTAGGTCATAACTAAAAGCTTTCGTTTACATTAAAGTGGTGGCTTTTCTGCTGCGTTGCAATATTCATTATTATATATTATTCATCTTGTATCGCGGTTTGTTCTGTGTGTAATCTGCTTCTATGTAATTTTTCTTTGACTGTGAATAATTGCAAACATAATATCCTTTATTTTAAAGCTGTAGTTGGTTTCAGAAAAGAATTTATCTACTGATTGTCAGACAGTTGTGCTGTTGCATGTACTGAATTTTTATCAGACCAAACTAAAAGGTCTCCTTACTGTTAACTAACTATAGTACATTTTACCTTATTAACGATCCAAGATAGAAAATATAATTTAGCATTGAATAAGCATGACAACGCCTTAGTAAAATCTTTATACTATTTGTCATCCTTTAGTAATCAGAACTCTTTATTGAACCTGTGTCGTAATCCTAAGAAGAATGCTACACAAAAACGAAATTACGATTAAGCAATGCACTTGGAACCATGAATGTTCACATTTATAATTTTGGTTGTTGTATTGTTGCGGCCACGTGGGGATTTTGCAATATATTCTTACTCTCTCTTTCACACACATGATCAGCTGGCCTGCTAATGAATACTGAACAGAACCCTTGAAAACCTTGTATGAGCCGATTCTAAGTAACCATTTAATACGCATATTTATACTCTATGCCACCATTGAATTGTCCTAGAACCTCTTTTCAAAATCCTTGATTGAATCCTCCATCTAAACCTGCTATACTCTGTGACCTATTAACCTCATGCAAATCTTTGTACTCTATGTGTCCAGGAGAGCGTGACGGATGTGCCAGTAGTTTTGGTGGGAAACAAGATAGACCAATGGGGAGACCGCATGGTGACACCAGAGGACGGCCAAAGACGGAGCAAAGAGATTGGCTGTGTCTGCTTTCATGAGATCTCCGTCAGAGAGAGTATAGAACAGGTGGGCAATTTAAACCTAATAAACGTTTGAGATGTTTAATAATATCCTTGAAAATATGTGTACAAGGAATTAGGACACCTTGGCAGTTGTTAAATCTTTGTCAGAGATTTCAAATGCAATAAATACTATAAACACTATCTTAATCTCATTTGATCCGTTACTAACCCACATATTGTACACATTTCAGTAAATACATCATCATGCACTAAACGTTTCAAATCAGGACATTTTATTAAGGTCAACAACTTTAACAAGACACAGTGCCCCAAAAGGTTCAGAGATATTGTTTAAGTTTATATGCAAAACATTTAATAATAATTGTACAAAATTCTTGGATAACAATGAGAGTCATCATCTCACAAAATAAACATAAGATCGTGAAAAATAGGAATGTTAAAAACAAGATTTTCTTAAATAAGCCAATGTAATGTCTTCTGAAACTCTACCCGATCCATTTAGAATTCACTCATTTACAGCTACTCTTTCATAATGCCTTCAAAATAATTATATTTGTGTTTGCACAAAAATATTAAGAACCAGTAAATTTATCCACATTGTCGGTTTCTGTTTTCAGGTGTGGACGGTGTTCAGAGACGTCTGTCAGTTCTGGAAGGTTCACACAAAGTTTCCAAAGCTGAAGAGGTCCTCCAGTGATATTCACAGTCCAGACGCTCCTCCAAACGGCAAACCCTCGCTCGCCATGATACTGGGTAGGTCAATCCATGGTACATCAAAATTGAAGTGATATAATTGTCATTTAAAAAGCGTAGTATCTTAAAGGTTATTGTTTAATCATGAAAAAAAAGCTTTAGGTAGATGGAATGTTAACATAAACCCAATTTCCATCAACTTTTCAGCTAGTTAGAAGAATCAACTTGGGTCAAAAACAAAGCTAAATCTATTCCTACTATGCATATTCACTTAGAATGTGTAGGCCTACGATTGCGACACTGTTTGCGATCCTAGAGGTGAAGAATATCCTAATGTACAGTAGGTTTAAATAGCATGTAATAAATACATCAATGGAAGTCATTAACAATTCATTTACTTAGCTTAGGCTAAACTTTCATCTTAAAAATAATGTGGTAAAGAATGAGTCTTGGATCTGTCGAAATACATGTTTGTCGTCAATACAATACTGTAATAGTAAATGGCCGAGGCCTCTACAAATGACCGAGCAGATGTTGCATTCTTAAACATATTTTAGATGCTGTTGTGTCTACAAAAGAGTTTATAAATCTTATTCTTGTTTCAGGACGAAGGTGGACGGAGGTTGAGCTCGATGAGGAGGAGGAGACAAGTCCGGGGTCGCCGACGCCAGCTCCGGAAGTGGAGGCGGAACTTCCACCGTTCAGAGGTCGCGCCTCCACCGACGGCCACCTGTTGTCGCGCCCCCGACGTTGGCGGTACCCGCCTCCAGCTACAACCCCTACGTCACGCCAGGCCGACCGCCGCATGTCCATCTCAATGAGGGGCAACAACGCCTCCTGCTGATCTCTGACGAACTCCGGTCGACTGTGGAAATCATCCTCTTTGTCATAATTATATTCTTCTTCTTCGCCGTCGAAAACAAACTAAATCATCTATTTCATCACCTTTGGAACAGTCACAGTTAGCAACGATAGAAAAATCATCTCCTTTGACGTAATCGTATCCTCCTTTACCTTTCTTTTTCTTTTCTCTTCTTTCTCCTTATTCTTCCTTTTATTATCATATTAGTAAATGATGTTTCTTTTCGGCTTCGTTACCCTAGATAAATGGAAATCATCATATTGTCTTTTACCTTCCTTCAATTATTTTCTCTTCTAGCTCCTTCTCCTCTTATCATCCCTTTTCGTCCTTTTAATTAATATTAATTAACGATATAACCTTCTTCGGTTTCGTAGCTCTAAATGTGATCAACGAAAGGTGAAACCGTCCTTTTGGTCATAATCATATTCGTCTTGTCACAATTATTCCCTTTATTTTTATCCTCCTATTCCTGATTCTTCTTTTTATAGTGTTTCTTCCCATTCTCTCATTTGTCTCCACTCTTTCATCATCAATATAAAAAAACAACACGATCTCTGCCTTGGTTACAATCTCCATCTTACTTTTCTCTTACTTGCAACCTTCGCGGTCTTAATGGTAAAACCTTATCTTCATCTCATGGAATTATCGTAGTCCATTAACGTTAACACCAGTATCACCATTGTTAGTATCTTATCTTCTTTTTCAATGTTTAATTTGTATTCTCCTTATTCTCAAATCCAACATAACCAACATAATAATCTAGTCAGACAGTCAGACAAACTGGTCGAGATTGTTGTTTTTCATTGGCATGTATTTTAACACATATTGTTAAAACTTTGAGCATTAATCAAAACTGGACAGAACTTACTCATTTCTACACATAAGACCGTTCACTCGTTATAGTTAAGAAAAAATAACATTTTCAAATGTATAATTTTCCAAAGGATTTAAATAAGCTACATTTAAAACCACAACTAAGTTCAATCTAACATTTCTTAATGAATATTGCCGTTTTTTAAACGTAACATTCTCGAGTAAAAGATGCCATGAAATAAAAATAGTTTTATAATTTCGTTTTACAAAAACTCTTTAATGAATATAGGGAAAACTGTCGTTTGAAGTAGATATAATATAGGCCAGCTTAACTGAAAGTTAGTGAATGCCCTGTATATACACTTCTACATTTACTTAGGTTTATCGAGCTCAAACACTAAATGTTTCAATATACTCTGTAAGTGTTAGATTTTCCTTCTGTGCAAAGAACTGTTTATTGAAAACATGTCAAGTTTCCTTTGTTTGTTTCAATCACAAAAGAATGTTCCGAAATCGTTGACCTTATTTTACCTTATTTCACTTTTAAGAAATATCGTACACTGTTGTGCAGTTTGAACACTCAATGTTCAAAAAATAATCAAATAGATATTACCATTATCCCTTATCGCTGGGTATATGATTAACAACAGGTCGTACAGAGTTTAAACTCGAAGTTACTTCGGTCGTTTTTCAAACAGAATTCGTGTTTCTTAATTTGCGAGTGAATTGCACACAAAAATATTTTAAAATAAACGGGCATCTACTTAAGTTACCTATTTGAGTTTGCCAATTACTAATTTTAGGAATTGCAAATTATAAAATATTATTTCAATTCTAGATTTATGAAAAAGTGAAAAGTTTTCAACTTATATGGTGTGTGCTTTTTTCTCATAGAAATAATACTATGCAAATATACAAGTTTTCATTGTCAGAAGCCTTTTGCTATTTCCAACTCTTTTCTTCTATTATGAAAACTGGATCACGTTAAGTTAGGTTTGGATAGTTGTTTATTTCCATGGTTTTCAAAAAGAAAAGATTTGAGCACAGTTAATAAGGTAAAGGATTCTGGCAGATTTAGCCTCTTATACGCTTTACCCAAATCAACATAAATTCAAGTCTCAAACTTTGTTCTCCTTTTTTTACTTTCCATGTAATAAATAACAACACGATTTTCATCATAGAATATTTACCAAATACTACTACTGCCATCTATATACTCACACTCACACACATCTCTAAAAATATGATGCATACATTGTGATGAATACATTCCTAGGCTATTGCTGTAAATAGCTTTATTTCGCTAAGTTATTTCTCGGCCGCTACTTTATCCCGAGATGCCAAATGTTGAAAAAGGCCTAATGAATGTTATTAGGACAAAGAGTAGTATTAGGTGTTGTAAGATATTTTTGAATACAATAATTATGATGATTAAATGTTAACATTTTTGTGCTTAAGTATGTGTTGCTTTGTAACATAGATTTATTCTGATGAACAGTGTATGTGTTTATAGTTATTAGAAGGTATCTGTTGATTTTATTCAACCTTGTGACTAATTTTATAATATTTTGAGAAGACAAAGAAATAAACCGTAGTTGTGTCAGAAACTATATTTTATACGACTTTTGAGATTAAATATTGCGTAAAGTTGTTTTAATCATATAGCGTACGATAAAAACCTCATTCACAATTTCCTTTTAAAATGATATATATATTTTTTTTTGTTGATTTTTTATTCTTGTACATAATTTGTTTAGATATTTTACTTTTAAATGTTTAGTTTTAGTGACGTGAGTTATTCTTTAAACCAATATTGTATTGAGAAGCGCTCAAGAATAAAGGCATTTTGATTTGATTTGATTTGATATTGTGAACTTTCGGAATAGTCTGAAGTAAATATCAAACAACTTATTACACGTGAATGACAAATAACATTTTTGTACATAATACGAATTTGTCAATATTGTGTTGTTGTTTTTATTGATGTTAATAGTACTAAGCAGAATCGAAATTATGTTGTAGTTTTATTGCATCTTTTGTTCTGTTTTAACTGTGAATTGTTGTCTTATTAGCAAGTCGTCAAAGGTAATTTTTCAAGTGTCACAGGACTTATATTAAAGGGACTCGTATACTATCATCCGTATGGCTCAGCTGATACAATTTCAATATTTTTTTATCTTCGGCACTTGAACTATCTTCTCCTTTTTGTTTTTATACCAAGAAAATGCCAAGATGTTTTTTTTAAAAACCATAGAGTGTAGAAGTGCCAACCCGTAAAACTTAGGCCATCTCTAAAATTAACGGAAAACATTTAGCCCACATCGCGCACCTCTATAAGCCTAATTATAGTATCGGAAATATAAAGTCAATGCTTCAGAATTTGAAAAATGCTCACAAGTAACCGAAATCTTACATTAAATTAATTTCTGAACATATTAAAACAGATTGTATATTTAAATACATATCTGACTGCAGATTGAAATAGCTGTTTAGACTTTTCCAATTCTGAAAAAGAACTACTACTGTGCATTATCAACTTAACATATCGAAATTGCTACAAGAAATAAATTGAACACCAGTTGTGGCCTTTAAGTATGAAATGTATAAACATTGCACCAATTTTTTTCTTGTCTGGGCAATGGTTATACTTCACCGATTACTAAAGGAATGCTACTCAAAATGTATTATTGAAAAATATGATTGTTGCTTTTTTCTTTTGTTGTGGGGAAGTATTTTTAGTTCTGATTTATTTTTGTTAAGCTCATACCTAAATGAATAAATGTTATTTGTACAAAATGGTTAAATGTTTGCTGTAAATAAAACTATATGAAAACCACTTCCTTCATTATCCTACTTGACGTTATTTTATCAGCTTGAAACTTCATGGCATCACATTCAAGAATTTCTTTACGAATCGCTTTGGCAATTTTGAAAAACCTCTAACTTTAAGTATTTTATTGGGAGGAAGAAAGAAAAGAGCCAATGGGAAGAGTCCAGCAACGAAGGCTAGCTGGCAAACTTCTTTGAACTTCGTGTACTGCGACTACCTCATTTCACTGGTTTCCACAGAATAGTTTTACAATTTAAGATATTATTTTAAATATTTTTATACTGTTTCCTATATTCGATCCCGGAAAACGGCATGTCGACCAACGATGAAATCTAGCCCAAACAATATCTGAGTGTTATTAAAAGAATCACTATTCTTAAAATAGGTTTTCTGTACTTCCCCATAGCTCCATGCTTACTACAATGTACCTTATCATCATTAAAATTAGTTATTATATGGGAATACAAATCTTTCAACCCCTGATATACGGTGTAGCTTTATGACTAAAGTAAACTTAAAAATATAAAATAATAAAGCGCATTAATACTGGTTTTATAAAACCAAATATATTTTTCATTGTCTTATTTCAAAATATTTAATAATTTAATTATTTACACAATACACGAACATACATTTAACTCGCGTACGCACTGCAGGATGGAGCGTCGTCTGGTGTACTTTGCACCATGACGTCATAGCTATTCTCCAGATGTATCACAGTGTCGAACAACGCATTTACTTGAGTGTTTATGTTGTCATTCAATACGTTGTCTGGTTCACACAGCCTTATAAATTTCATAACACTCAAGTGTGACATTTACTTTTCTTGCAGTTGTGTAATATTTGCAAATTGTCTGAGATTGAATTGTAATTATGTCCACATTGTATTAGATGTTAATGTATTGATATTGCGATTCAGAAGTTTTCATAATTTTCATTGAAGAGCTGTTTTTATAGGAACTGTACTATAGCTAATGAAACTTAATTTCCATTTGACACTAATGAAACACTACCTTCATTCAATTAATATCCACTTTTAACCCCTAGACTATCTGAAATTACATTATTTTCATTCAGTTTTGCATAGAAACAGTGCTAACTTTTGATTATAGAGGTAGACCTACATTATGTTTAACCTAAATTATTATTACCTTATCTTATGAAAGAAGCAAAACTTTTTACATAAAAGTATGCTCTCTTACCTATCATGCCTAAAATAGAGTCTCTTTAAACTGAGCTTACATTGGTCTTTTAGAAAATATGGTAAACCTGAAAGGAAATAAAATGTAAACATATCGGGGAAATTATCCTCATGTTTGTACAACGACAGTCAACCAAGAAATATCAGCTGATCTGGTTTATTAGTTTATTATTACTCTTCACTACAATCAGCTGTTTTAGTGACTTGTTTGTTGAACGTGACGATTTTTCCAATCTTCTAAATAAAGTAAAGGGTCGAAGGATTTACTCTTCTATAGTTCGGCCGCTTAGGCTGCGGCCACACGGGCGTTTTTTCACGCAAGAACGCAGCGTGAAAAAACGCGAGAAATATGAGCAGCATTAAATGTAATGAGGTATGCCACACGCAGTGAGTTTTCCCGCAGTAGCGGGCGCCCATTTGTTTCAATGCTACTTTAATTTTTCGCGTGTTTTCACGCTGCGTTTGTGCGTGAAAAAAACGCCCGTGTGGCCGCAGCCTTAGAAAACGACCTGCGCGCTAATGCTAAACCAATGCTGGAGGAGGTCGCTTTCTAAGCGGCCGAACTATAGCATTACTCTACTCTCACTCTAAATGACGATTCTCTACATATGTTTCATCTTTAGGATTATAAATATCGCACTTAAGGATTACTCCTAAGGTTTTCTTATTCACACACTATGTTGTTGCTTAAATTAAGTTTACCCTTAAAATTACTGGTTCTCGCGAGGAACTCTTAGGGTTACACTTGGATAACTAAAACTGGGTTTTAAGGTTTACTCTCTCGGGTTGTTCTTTAGTATCATTTATCTTCCAGAATACTCTATAGGTACTTAAGCTATTACTCTTAAGATTACTCTTAAGCTTTACACTTCAGAATAACTCTTCGGGAATCACTCTTTGGAACGAATCTTCTGTTTTACTCTTAAGGATAAGCTTGAGTATTTTATCTAGTAAGAATAAATAAATAAATAAATGAGATTGTAGACAGTTTTTCCTTCTTTAGACAACATAAATTGCTTAGTAATTTCATACGAAATCATTAAGAAGTGTAAAGGATTGCTTGTATTTGGTCGAAATCGAGAATATTGCTCAAAGTAAAAAAACATGTATTCAACAAAAAATTAAATTAAAAACAAAGAACTTTTCATAACCTAAGTTAGGACCTTATCCTTCTACAGCAGACCAGGCGTTTCAGTAGAGTCTTTATAATATCCTGAAGACTTCCTGGTTCAGGATCATTCACTTTTCACTTGGTCCTCGAACCCTGCCTTGAGGAACTCTCGCATGAGGTTGTTCACCGCATCAGGCACCTCTTGTTGTACACTGTGACCAGCACCGGGAACCACCTGATGGAAAATTAGGTCAAACCCCGTTACGTGCCCACAACTCGATTTTTTACAATTAAACTTCTACAACTTAATAAAACCTTTAACAGGTAACAAATAATGAAAAATACAATATTTAGAAAAGGTTTTTTATCACAAGCTGTGTAGCCTACAATTGGAGAAAAAACACAAAATAATAGAATATGCTATAGCGTCGCCAGCAGCGGTCCGCGGTTATGAAACACTTTTGACTTTTTGGCAACAATGAGATAACGATTAATTTTAGTTCAGTTGCTCGAAAAACAGCTTAAAATTTGCAGTACAGTACTTAGTTATATTCTACAATTTTTTGTGTTTTCTCCAAAGTACCTATGACCTTTAGTCAATCTCCCATAAAACATATACTTAAAATGTTCGTCACGACGAGAAACCTTGCACAAAACTATCCGTTATTTCATAAATTGCCCTTTAGGGTCGTAATTCCTTTCTAAAGGGAACTTTCCATACACCTAATGTTAAAATGCCTCTGCTGTAAGTACTTGTGTGTATTTTTATTCTTTCAATTTATTTGGTACCTTATTAAAATCAGGTGCGATTATTTGTTTGTATTACTGTATTCTGTTTTGTTTATTACAGCTTAACTTAACCAATCAATAGTTTTAATAATAATAATAATAATTAATAAAGCTTATGAAGTCAAACGGGGTGAAGCCCGTGGGTAACAGCTAGTTCAAGTAGCGTGTGATTAAAAACCTTCTCTAAACATTATATTTTTCATTATTTTATACCTATAAAAGGTTTCAATAAGATAGTTGAAAAAATCAAGTTGTGGGCACGTAACGGATTTTAACCGAAAAATAAAATGTCATGTCGATAGTGTAGAAGGTATAATCCTATTAGTGTGGCTATTGAGTTCAACCCTCGCCCATTATCCGGCCTCGGCGTCGTCTCGGTCGTGAACTTGAGCTTGTGTTAAAGAGTCATTCTAGGGCCTTTAGTGCCATTGTCACATAAGTTGAAGTTCATCCCTTACGGCGGGCATAGGACGGAAAATTAGCAAGGAGAAACTATATTTTTCGTCATTCAAAGATTTACAAAGATATACTAAGGTTTGAAAACTGTTAAAACAACTATTACACAAGGTACAAAATTGACTAATAGCACATTTAACAGGTAAATAAACATAAATCGTGAGTATTTCATTGCTATGTCAACATTTGACAAAGTCAATTTATTTGCATTTCATACGTTCATGAATGAAAAACAAACTGAACGAAATTGGTTTGCCAACTCTTCTGTTATTGTTATCAAAGAGAATGTTATAAAAACCGTTTTTACTCACCGAAGCTAGGTTTCATTTTGAGAATAGTGTCACAGCCAATAATCGTGTGAAATGTTTATAATATGTTTTGTAAAGTTATGTTTTGACTAAGTAAGAGTAATAAAGTAAAGAGAACAAGCACAGGATTGTGTAAGTAACTAATGTAAGTAAGTAATGTGTTAGTTAGTATGACTAAGTTACCAATTAGATGATTAAGTGACTAAGTAATGAATAAGCACGTAATCAATTAGGTTACTAATTAAGGAAAGTAAGTAACGAAGTAGTAATAAATCAAGAGATAAAGTAAACATTGATGTGACTAAGAAATCTAAATAAGTTAAGTTGGAAACTAAAAGAATGCCAAAGTAAAGGTTTTATGAAGTAAAGTAATTTAAGCAAGCCACTAAATAACTGAAGAAAGTAGTAAATTAAGAGAGTGAGTATGTTAAGCGCCATATTACCTCTGTAGTCAGGTTGTACACCATCCTCCTAGTCTTGTCCACCGCCTCCAACTCCATGTACGGGTCTTCGCCCCCGAAGATCAGCAACCCCCGGGGCATCTTGAAGTCCGTAGCACGTCTCTTGAGAAGCCCTCGGTCTGGGGCGAGGGTGGCGCGGTAGAAGTTGATGGGCGGAGTTAGGGCTCCTGGAAGTGGACATTTTGAAAATTACTCTGAGAATCATATCTCGTTTGCTGGGCGATGAATGTGACTTAGGCGATTTGAACGTCACTTAGTATGGATTTGTGTATTGAATGTTTTGCTTCAACTATTTTTCATCTGAGGATGCTGCTTTTCTCTCCTTACTTAATTTCGACCCTTGTAGCTGTTGCTTCTTTGGAGATTGTAATTTTTCTCAAATAATTTTTATTTGAAACGTCTTCATTTGTATTGTAGACAGTTCTAGATATTTTAATGTATCCATTCTCTTCCATTACATTTAACGTCCATTGGTTGGTTTTTCTTTCTGTACTTTATTTACTTAAATCTTTTTTAAATGACCTACATTTAATATGATTTAATATATTTATATTCAAATTTTACAACGCCCTTAAAGACGGGTGGGAGAAAAATTATAGTGATACTATCAAGAAAATTAACAAAGCACCAACCTGTTCTTTGGCTCTAAATTAAAAACATATCTTTAAAATAATATAGCTAAGGTTGTTATTGCCGACATATATAGTATGGAATCTGTACGAGGGGAAGATAATAAGTCCGATTAGTTTAGCCATTCATTAGTGCTAAATTTAAATATTGATCCTGAAAGCTGTGGAATTATCAATGTGAAATGCTACAGAGCACTTAATGAAGCTATTAAACTTGCGGGTATCTGTTGTCGAACCGGTTAAACTCTCCTGGTTGTCGAATACAGTTTTACCTATAAAATTGGGTAGTTTTCTAGTAAAATGGTTGACAGCTTATTCATTTTAATTTTCGATTAAAACTCGTTGTAGCATAATTTTTTTGGGAACATTTCAGAACATTTTTTTTAGCTCAATAAAATATCGTTTTGGCAAACAGTGGTTTCTTTTGGAATTTTTGCAGTATGCGAACAGCACTTTAAATATGGAAATATACGGAAGTAATGTTAACTGTACTAACAGGGTTTGGTTATTTTCGTAACTAATGCTACTGTAAATTTATTAATATGTTTAAATTAAGTGCATAAAAATAGTCTAATTAAAAGCACAATTTAGAGTCACGGTGTGAAACAACCTCCAAAAATTAAAATTGGTCCTAAAAACCTTAATTTAGGCCTGCAGGTTTCTTACAACCTACAAATAGAATTAAATTGACCATTTTCTAAAAGCATCACCAAATTAGAACTTTGATAGATCAAAGTTAAAGCTGCACAAAAATAAAACAACCACTCTATTATTTGTTTAGTAAATAAGGCTACCATTTAATTAAACGTTTCGAACTAAAGAGGACGAAAATCCAATTCCGCTTCAACTCGAGTTAATTAGTAAGTAAATATTCGAGTTATTTACAACCATCCCTCAAAGTGTTTCGTTTGAGAACTTGTATCCCGCTCGTAGAATGATTATTCCGTTCTGCCTGATGTTTACTGCGTGATTTAGTTAATGAATACGATGTCATAATTAATTTGTTTGCTGTAAAATTATTATCTGTCAACATGTTTGAAGTCTATAATTTTAAATATAATAGTACTAATATCAAACACTACTACTATCTGCTAATACCTACTATTAGTACTAATATCTTTGTAATAATGCTATTTAAAAGGATCAAAATATTCATACACTATAATATTCCAAAACCACATATAGAAAAATACAAGCATAAATCATATTAAAAGTGTTCAAAATCGCAACAAAAAACTTTCAAATTAAATACAAAATAAAACAAATACGATGATGCTTGATTTGATTTATTTTATCATCTTCATTCTTCTTTAGTTAGATGCGTTATTTGAGTTTGCTGGAAACCAACTATTTTATTCGACGAGTTAAACTTTATGATAAAATAAATAAAAGTGAATAAGCAGATATATAAATTATTTTCTGCCTTAACATCTTGTAAACAAACTTTACCTGGTTTTCCAAAAGTAAACTTGTAGGCTTCCACATCTTCCTCTGAGAATGGAGATGGACTCTTCTTTGTCGCAAAGTATTTCTTGATCTGAGCCAAGTCACTGATCCGCATGTAAAGCTCGGGCAGATAAGGGAGTTGGAAGAAGAATATGTACCTGTGGGAAAATATTGTCGTCAATAATAGGAAACTAAATTCATTTTATGTATAAGAATTGACTATGCAACCAATTAATTGACATTTATAATGAAGACATTTCATTTCAGTTCTATTCAACTTAATTTGATTTCATAAAAAAAAGTAAAGCAGATTACAAAATGGTTTCACATTTGACAATGTATAAAATTGTGTCCAAAGTCGTGTTTATTTTTAAAATCCATACAATTTAATTCCAATTAGATAAAATACTGGGGGTCATAAATTATTGGACAAATTTAAAGATTTTTTATCCAGTAATCTACAGTTCTGCAAAAAATAATTATAAAAAGTTCAGTAATTTCAAAAAGTAATTTTTAAAATCTAATAAAATCACCTAAACAGTTATTGGTAAGTTATGTTTTCTTCTAAGGTGAGGACCTTTTAGACTATGTTAAACACTTTCCATTCGTTGAAACTGCCTACACCAACATTTTATAGAATTGTTACTTGGAGAATTACGGCCATACTCTAAACGGAGCTTTCTTCGAACAGTTAGGTCTATTACAGATCTGCTTTCTTGAACCCAAAGAACTCAATTTGTTATTTCTTGCACACTAGTCATTTTGATACTGAAGTTAGTTTAATGTTTGATTGGTCAAATATCATACTCAGCTGATGTAAGCACCATTGTTGCCCAGCTGACTAAGCCTCAACACAAGTTATTGAGGAGAACACATAACTTACATTCACAGCTCAACAAATTTTTATAATTAATTTAATTTTCATAATATTGTTGTTTGCTGTTACTGTATAAAACTGCTTTACATTTTCTATTTTACGAAACGATTCCCATGTCTCTAAATTGATTGGTTATTTAATCTTATGTGTCCAATAATTTATGACCACCCTGTACTATCTGAAATGAGAACTTCTACCAGCTGTACCATGATTTGCGGAACTGAGAGAAACTTTTGATTAGCATCTTTCGAAACACCACTGGATGAGGAGTTCCCATGATGACGTAAGAGGAGACCATCTTCGGGTAGATCATGAGAAAGTACCAGGCGACGACGCCGCCCCAGTCATGTGCCACCAGGGTGCACTCCTCCCGACCTGAGCAATATAGAAATATGGTGATGCATAAATGTTGTACGTCAGTTTAAAACACATAAATTAGCCAAAGTTAAAATAGGCTTTTAATGTGTCACACAAAACAAGGAATTAAATAAATGAATATATGTTTTGTAGTGTTATAGTACATGAATTAATACATTTCTTTTACGAAACTAATCAATAAATGGGATTCTAGCAATATAGTCCCTATTATATAACTAGTAGTCAGTAAACGTTTGAGTTTAGTAGGCGCGTGTTGACTCTAGTTTTGCTAAGTCACAAACACAACTTAGGAAAGTTCTACCAGCTGATTGTGATTGCTGAGTCATCTTACCTAGCGCTTCCACAAGGTTCTTCACATCCTCTACCAGATACCTGAGTCTGTAGAAGGAGCGTCCCTCTGGTTTCTCCGAGTCCCCGTACCCTCTCATGTCTACAGCCACCACCCTGGACAAGAATTAAGCAGCCGTCAAACAAGGAGTCAATCTATCCATCAATTCGTCGCCCATTTCAGAATCAAATGCGTATTCTAGTTGAATTAGTCGCTGATGCATATTATTGATTTCTGGGTACTTTGGCATTATACGGAGACCACCCTTTTACACTGTACTACAGCGGTTATGTTAAGTTGGGTTATCATAAATAGAAAGAATGACTCATCTGGTATCGTCCGATTCATAATGAAACAAGGAAAGTCCATCAAACATGTTTATGATAACCCTAACATAACCGCCGCAGCGCGCTGTAAAATATGTGCTCCGTATGTATGCAAATATTAAGGCCAACTATTTACGTAAGCCTCGCGGTGTCAAAACGCCCATTTTCATCACGCCATACATGTTTATCGTCCGTACTATTTGTTTGTGTATTCCAGTAATTTATACATTAAGCATTGCGCCGTTATAAAATTATTTATACTGATGAACTGAGTGCTAAACTTAAAATGGTTTACAATACCTGCATATAATAATCCTTTTTTGCTGATTATGGCAAATAGTTTCAGTTCATTATTGAACCATCTTCAGGCCTCAAAGTGTCAAATAATCACCTGGCCTGAAGATGGTTCAATAATGAACCGAAACTAGTTGCCATAATCAGCAACAAAGGATTACTATATGCAGGTATTATAGCTATTTTAAGTATAATACAGTAATCCGGAGGCTAAACAACTATTTTTTTAAATGAGTGCTAAACATGTACACGATGGGAATTGAAATTTGTACAGCGAAATGTCTTCGAAAGTAATCAATATCAACACGTGAAGACCTATTCCAGGATACATCATGTTTAAGCCATCTTGATATATTTAAATATCTTTGAGTATGAATAAACATCATTATATATAAATATTATAAGAATGAAACATAGTAAAAAGTAAGTATCCTTTAATTAAATTAAAATAAAAGCTAATTTGAAATGGTAAAGTTACTTTTTAAATTGTAAAGTAATACAGATAAAGTTTGTTCCAGCAAACCTTTATGAGAAATACATTAATTTATATTAAGTCAAACAAAATGTTCAGAGCACAATTAATAATAAAATCTAAATACAGTTCTTAAATCGTATCACGACTGTTGACATGACTCACACGTTATAATACGGATCCGTTTCAATAGGTAAAGGATCTACAAGCTTATTGCAATCCTTTGCGTCCAATAGTTTGCACAAGAGTGAAAAATTCTGTCTTATAAATCCCAGTGTTACTTTCCCTTGAGTAATATTTTATTACTATTACGTCATCTCAAATTAATTTTAAAACTGTGTGAACACGATAATTTGTATGATACAAGGTTTTTTAATTGATACCGATACATTAAAAAAATTATTATTGTTTATCACTATTTATTTTCATCTTCGAAGGGACAGGGATTCCACTGAAACGACCTTTTGGCTTTCATGAATTTCCAATTTTGTTGTCGAATTGAATCAACGCTGAGCGTGATTTATTCCAAACAAAACATCGGACGGGTAGGTCAATTTCTTGGTCGATTCGTAAAAAGTATCGTACAAAAGATTTTTTTAAACGTGATGAGAAGTTCCAAAACGTATTTGGGTACATTTTTGGGCGTAACTATTTATAATACTTTTAAAACTCAATTAGAAAATTTTTGTTAGGTATTTACTCAAAATCAATAGGGTATATTTCTTTTATCGTTAACATTCCTTATAAAGGATGGTAATATAACGCATTATTAAAATAATGTTTATACGCTCATTCTCTTAAAGATACAATATTAGAATCCAACAATGATAGAACAAAAAGGTTTTAGAATTATTGGACTATTTTAGGTAGAATTTTACATTAATATGATAACAGAATTATACAATTTTTACCTTCAACCGTTTTTTAAACTAGCCATTTAAAAGTTCAGTTCTTATAATTGAAAGATTCACTCAACAGCATTGTTTACTTACTAAACAGATTTCCTTAGAATTGAAAAGTTTCACTTTACAGCTGTTTACTTTCATATCAGCATAGTTTCATTTCATATCAGCATAGTTTTTCTCATATCCACACAGGTAACGGACCAATGAGGTTGAAGTATTGAGAGAAAAGAATTAAAATTGTAATGCTTCGAACGTCAACTAATCAGCTGATCAGTTGATCAGTTGACCAATTTAATTGTTGATCCGACTTGTTCATGTTGATACTCGCGTATTCGTAATTAAGTTAGTGGAAGTCCAAAAATAAATGAAATATTTGCCAAATTGTACCTGATACAATATTATTTATGGTAAGAATGCTGCTAGCAATGTAATATTTAACGAAGTTTAACAAACACGTAATTACAGGAAATCAGCTGATTATACAACAAGTCGTTGCATCACTTTCAGTGGCAATGACAATACACGAAAACATAACCTCTCTAAAAAGTTATCAGTAGTTAGTAATCCAGATTGATAGTAATTAAAAAACGGTCGTAGGTAAAGTAGTGTACGCAACTCGCGTTAATAGTCTTTACGCAATCGTTGCGTACACTACTATAACGCACCGATATAATCACATGCCGATCAAATGATAGAATTATTGAATGGCATTTTAGAGTATTGAAGTGAAATGGTGATGAAAGAAATTAACAATAGAGATCAAGAATAGAAAAATTCCTAATTCATGCAATTGAATGGTAGAATGATAAAATATATCTAAACATTTATAGTCGGAAAAGTATCAAAATAATTGAATATTACCAGTGATCTTTGGAGAATTCCTTCAGCTGGTGTCTCCAGGAGTACCAAAACTCCGGGAACCCATGCAGCATCAGCATCAAAGGCTTGGTTTTGTCCCCAGCCTCTACGTAATGAAGTTTCACATACTGTAAACAAAACCTGTATCAAAACGGCCCTCTATTTTTTATAGTGGAATTAATACTTTTAACGTAAAAGGGAAACAGTCCAAACAATGGACTTACAACGTCTTATTTGTATTCTAAAGCACCAATAGTTTGTAGCCTAATAAAAAAATTGGCATTGGATTCCTTAATCGATTTTCGGACAACATCTAAAACTACTCAAGCCCACAACACAACAGAAACAGATTGGTATATAGTGAGATCCATATAGTTTTGGAAACTCCCTGTCCTAAAGCCATAAGACAATTATTTTGAAACCCTAAATAAACTAAATATAGCAAAATGAAGTTTTTTGTTGTTGACTCACGGTAAACTGTGTAATTTTATTTTAATAGTACATTTGCAACAAAAGATTACACTAAAACTTAATTATAACCTAATTTTTAAAATACATAATACACTCTTTGATCACATCCAACCAAGGTAATGTGTTTGTTAGAGTGTTATGGATATTAAGTTAATTTATAGTTCAATGGTAAATTGTATCCCGCTTGGGCCCGAACCAGTGACCTTCATATTTGGATGTGAGGACTGCAACCACTCGTTCTGATCTTAGGAGAGGTTAATAATAACATTATCTTTTGTTTTTCTATGGACAATTGCATTACTCAATACTAAAAGTACAAATAGAACTTCAGTAGTAGCACACTATATTTTCGAAAGATGCGAACAAATATTTTCACAAAATTCAAGTTTCTGGCTCCTGGACTAATTTATTAAGAAAATAATAGGTTTTTACGTATCTCCGTCCAATGGTCCAGCAATAAACATTGCTCAGTAGATATCATGTTTCGTTGCAAAGACAGCATTCTCAAAGCCTGCAACTCGTCAAGAACAAAATTTAAAAAATACGAGCCGTGTTTCGAACACGTGTTCGTGATTTTATGAACGTGTTCGTGCCGAACACGAACATAAATACTGTACGTACACAAACATTTAAATAGTGCTATCAGGGTACTGATCAGTGATAAGTCCGGAGCGGCTGGGGTTGGTAGAAGACTCGTTTTTATGTTCATGTTCGTGCCGTATTTGTTTAATTGTGTTCTCGACGAGTTGCAAGCTTTGAGAATGTTGTCTTGACAACGAACATGTAAGTTACAGAGCAATCTTTTTGTCATTTGACTATTTGTTGGAGATAAAAACCTATTATTGTCTTTACTAGTTTCTCAAGAGAACTGTTTACAATTGGTCCATTTCGTCCACATAAACGGAATGTCTACTACAGTATCCAACTCAAATATGTTACATAAGTTTGATGTTTGAAATCTCTTGTGATGAAAATCGTTTTCCTCTATCTCGTCTTCATTCGCAGTTATGTTCAAGGTTTAATCATATAAACTTTCTCCGTCGCCGCAACGTCCACGGATTGCTGTTTAGGAAATATTCCCCATAATAGAGTACATCAGACACAGAATATAGTAAGCCTTGATATGAGTTAGTTTAGGGTCTGCTATGATGGATGCAATATTAACTCAAGAAGGAGTCGAACTAAAATAAATCTCAAGACTTAAACCTGAAAATCTTATCTGAATTCCTTTATTAATATTTTGAGTAGTAAACTAAGTAAGACTAGATAAATAAAGTATTTTTTTTTATTTTAAAATATTCAAAGCTATTTTATAATACAAAAATACATTTTAGTTTGAAGATTTTACTTAGAGAAACACAACGGCGAAAACCCGACTCTAATACCATGTTTCGTTCAAAAGCGACGATTTTTAAAAGTCTTAATTAAATCAATGACATTCCACGATAGAGATAAATTTAAATACTATGTCACGAATGAATGGCATTCCGCGATAAGGGACCTCCGATAAGATAACGCAGCAACTCATTCATTCGTTATCTCTTTAAATGTTTAAAAACCTACATCACTTATTCTTGATATTTCACCAATATTAGAAAAGCTGCCATTTTTGACTCGGTTGTCCGTTTGAGGTAGGGTTTGCGGCATTGTATTTTTCTAAAAAAGATCTTTAATTTGATGTGCGTATCAACCTATGCTTACCTCGCAGATTTTCTTAATGTTTTGAAATAAATATCATATCAGAGAAATAATCAAAATTTGTTTTTTGGTTGAGTAATGCAGTATCTTGAACTTACTGATTATTAATAAATTAAATTAAAGCCTATATTTTACTTAATATTTTAAGTCTAAAACACAAAAAACGTAAACAATATTTGAGCTCTTGATTTCTCATGATAGAAAACCCTTAAAAATTATTTTTGTTGGTTGTTCACCTTGCGTTTGCTTGAAACTCGTGTGATTTGAATAACTAGTAGCTTAAAATAAAGCCAGTACTGTATTTCACTGAAGGTTCTTAGACCAAAATATACAGGATTATATTATTATAACTGGTGAAATACATCTTAATTGAAGTAAGAATCCGAAAATAAATCAAATTATTTTTTTGGTCGATTAATACGGTAAATAAATATATGCCTATGCTTGGTGTGAAATCTGTACTTGAATACCTTCAATTTGAGACCTCAATAATGAAAATCGGTCCGGTAGAAGAGCCAAACGAACTCGGAAAAGAAAAATATGTTTTTTAATATAAGATTATTTTCAAAAACTGATAGAAAATGTGCGAAAACAATTTAAAATATTTTTGAAAGTCTTATAACTGAGTTATTTTTTCAACTTTTGATTTGTTAAAGAAAATTGTTGTGTGTTAATTTTGTTTTATGAGTGGTGTAAAATTGCTAGTTCTAATTTCGTCTTATCACAATTTATTGTTTTATCAATTTTCTATAAGTGAAGTACAACTTTCGATTCCTGATCTTGGATTCTTGAGTCTCACTTCTCAAATCTCGATTTTGAATTCTATATTCTACGATTTTGTACCGTAAACAAAGTGAAACTTAACATGTACCTAACAATGAAATATTAGGAATTATCTATTCAGATACCTAGCATACCAATAGAAAATCTGTGTTGTTATGAAAACTGATATTTACAGTGAATCATGTTGAAGTTTATTTCCAGGATGGGATAAAGCTTGCATATTACAATTTCGAAATGACCGATTGCACCGACAGTTTCGTCATGTAAAGATAGACCAAGCTTATAATCGTTGAACACTACTAACTGCACTGGGCAAGGTGAATGAACGGTTAGAAGTATAATTGCAGAGCGATGATCGCGCAACAATAGACCGCACAGCTGTTCTGATGGTCGACCTGCACTTTCCGTCACGTCAGCGGAGCGTGGATAATGATTAAATGTTTGATTGGCTGGTCTAATCATGTTGTGTACAGCAGGATACAAAAATATTCCGTAGGATTTTTGTCCTATTTGAAAATCTGGAGTGTATGTTTGTGTTGTTCAAGACGGTAACGTTTTAGTGCGCTGATTGTCTCAACACGAAAATGACCTTGGAAACACCTGTTCTTACATTGTTGGCAACTCGCTGCAGTTTACATTGAATACTGCATGTAGAATTTTAATTATATTGTAAAATAAGTTTGATGACTGTGTTATGTAAGTCGAGTCAGCTGATGTTGACTGAATGATGTTTCTCTTTTATTTTAGGGCAGATTTCATTGTTTGTTTCAGTTACTGATTTTTTTTCTGCTGAGCCAGAGGACAAGCATTAACATTTTTGTAAAATTGTATCAGTGCCATCTGTTTTGATGTAAGCAAATGTAAACTTGAAACAGTTCAGATGATTAACAACAGAATTCAGCACAAACTCTGAAATTTTAAAAGCCTATAGGACGAAGGGATTTCACAGTTTATCATATAAGCCCGCAAAATGTACATCTAAAGGATAACAGCTTTCATTATGCCCATAAAAAAATATTTAGGGGTCGATTTGCTGAATACAAAAATCCAACAAATTCTTGTAATAATATTAAAATAAGTTAAATACCAAATACCAATAACAACATAGTAAAAAAAAAAACAATCTGCTTTTGAAACCATTCATGTACCTTCAAGTTATAATACCATTGGAGAAACGATACAGTCATTCATAAATAGATTTACCTAATATTTACCTAATAGTTTTTTTATCACAACTTTATTTACAAGTTCAATTATAAGGTATAAGTAGTAAATAAGAAAACGATTTACTAAACTTGAACGTAGACATGGTTTTAACCGTTTTCAGCTGTTCTATGAGGATGATAAATCTATAAGAATGTAAGTTTAAGATATGCACAAGAGAGTGCATTTTATTATGACACAATGATGGTAGAATGAATTAAAAGGAGGAAATACTCCCCTTGTCAGTAGGGGGAAAAGCAGAGTTTCAACTCTTGTCACTTCCTCCCTTATACCTTCTCTGGAGGATTCTCCCGAATATGGGAGGACTCTCCCAGCATCAAGGGATATTTCCTCCGGAGAAGGTTCTCTGGAGGAAATATCCCTTGATGCTGGGAGAGCCCTTTCCTCTTGTCCTGTAAAACACAATACCACTGAACTGACCTTGAGTTGGACATAAGCGTGGTTGCCGAGGGCAGGGTCGTTCAGGCACTTCGGAGGGACCTCCCTGGACTTGACCTTCCAGAAGTGGACCGAGGGGGCGCGCACCCAGCGGTACAGGAAGCGGACGATGAACAGCGCGCCGTAGAACAACGAGATGGAGTAGAGGATGGAGTACATGAGGGTTGGCACCACCCAGAGCCTGAGGAGACGACCGACGTCCATGGTGCAGGTGCTACTGGAGAGTGAAGTGGAGTCGAGAGAGAGGTAAGGAGGGGGCTCTGCCCCACTGGTTCCTCAATGTACAGTAGGTGCCGTTCTCGCGACGCTTCGGAGAAAACGAAACATTCCCATTCCAGAATATATTTTTTTTTTCTAAAAACATACGGAAAGTAAATAAAAGATAGTCTAATGACACTTAAAACCTATATTTACGCATATACTGTGTATATGTACGCATGTACTGTGTGTCTGTGTGCACAAGACGGTAAATATACATAAAAGATGTTAAGTGGTGATCGAATTTCGATTGGACTCTCCAATCATCATCAGACCCAATAGGCGAATGATGGGTCTGATGATGATTGGAGAGTCCGATTGAAATCGATCACCAATAACCATCTTTTATGTATATTTACCCTCTTGTGAGTATCTTTTATTTACTTTCCGTAAATTTAATTACACGTGCAATCTAGGCCTATATAATACATGTTCTAAGGCTATGTACTAAATGTTTAGCCTTCTATATTAATGGAATTTGTCCGTAAAATTTACTCTGAAACTATGTGACCGTAACCATAAAGGTCAAACTTTTCTGTTACATCATCATACTTACTTAGAGACAGCTGTGCATTTACGTATATTAAGCTCAGTATTAACTAATTAATGCAGAATGAGTGTGAGATGGAGTGTATCTGTCCAGTTTTGTTAAAATAAAATGTTTCCTTAGCCAGAATCATTTCATAAAAGTCCAAAGATAGGCGGTAGGGTCCAGTTTTAAAACACAAAAAGCAACTAACTTTTCTCGTGATCTTTTGTACAACCACTCAACTACCTACAATAATCTAAATACTTAGTCCACAGTGTATTTCTCTAGGAATTATTATTTATTTCTCTACTTGGCTACAAGTTACTCCTCTTACTTTGAAGTACAACCACTTATAGTCGTCTATTCAGAAGCCGAGAAGTGTTTCACTGGGGTTTTTTTAGATAGGGATAACTATTTTAATTTCAGGAAATGGACTATTCCTACGCTGTTTTAGCTTGAAAAGCCCAATTCCGAATCAGCACAACGAGGTCAGACCGTGATTCTATCGGCTTTAGCATTACGTAGCCTAACCTAATGGCTTGGGTAGCGAGCCATGCTAAATCTGCATTCGCTTGTTAGTGGATACAATAACGGTAAACACAACTAGTTTGCTACAGGAAAACTAACTCTAAATAAAATATAGGCTTTTGTTAAATATGTACGACAAAATATTTTCGCGAGCTTAGAATTCAACATAATACAGGGTGGACAATTTAGTAGGTTAATCTGTAAGAATGAGATTTTGACTAAAGAAATCCGGAAATAAGACGTGAAATCTGTATTTGTAATAGTTATAATAATTTAAATACGACATAAATATATTACGGGAAGCTAAGTGGATGTAGTTATTACCTATACTTCGTTCACATTTTTAGGCTGTTTAGGGAAAGAAATCTATCCCCTTCATTTGACCTTTACCTTTAAAATAAGAGCTCAACAGCTGATTAAGCAACACTCATTAAATAGAAAAAAAGTAGTGGGGAAGCTCTCCCCACAAACCACCTATATATAGGAAACACAATGTTTAGTTGAATCCGGAAGAAAGTCAGTAGCTTTTTGATGGTTTGAATGTAGACCTAGACTAGCTGTTTAACAACATTAATAATCAATTTATACACAAAGTACATAGAGAAGTACATCAGTCTTTGATAAATTATTTAGTAAATTAATTAGCCTATTAGTCCCTGAAACTATTTTTAAAGTTGTCCTAAGCACAGTTTACAGCACCGTATAATATAACGATTCAGAAACTGGGCTTCTTGGCGCAAGATCACGTTCAAGCAATCCATCCACTTCAGGCCAGTTCACCTCAGTATCTTAGCCAATTTATATGGTTCATCTCGAGTATTATTCTATCTACCCGTCTGAGTAATTTCAGTTTATACTTGGGATTCAGGTATAAAAGCAGCTAGTTAAAGTTAAAGTTTTTAATGTTTTACGAATTTCATAACTAATGAATCCCAATGCACATTTATAACGTTTTGGTCATTTTCGTATTTATTAGAGTTGGTGCATGACAGAAGAGTGCGAGAGAGCATTAAATGGTTGAAAGTGTCCATAATAGAAGTCGAATTTACCAGCTGTACAACTCAGTATAACTGTGGATAGATTTTACAATTTTTTATTAAGGCCTACCTCATCAACCAGGAGCTTTGACAGGTGTCCAGTTTATCTGTTTTACGATTTATCATTTGTTTGGGAATATTGTAGCGGAATAGCATCATGTAGCCATTCCCCCCTAATTTACCATTTTAGCTATATAAATGCTACTAACAGTCTTCACAATCCTAAATTTGAGCACTACGGCCGTTTCGGAGATAACTCCATCGTCGGGTGCGTAGTCATCATACACTATACTGAACTATTTAATTTTTTTACATGGTTCCTTCATTTCCATTTCGTCAATGTTAATTAACTTAATTAAACTTTGACGCGATGGAAATGAAGAAACCACGTAAAAAAATTAAATACTTCAGTTTAGTGTATGATGACTACGCACTCGACGATGGAGTTACCTCCGAAACGGCCGTAGTGCTCAACTATAGGATTGTGAAGACTCTGTAAGTAGCCTTTATATAATGCCTTTATTACACGCAATCTGCCACACTGAATAATAATTTTTAGCTGTCCATGCAATTCGCATGACAATCAACCTATATGCATTAGCTAGGCGGTAAACCCCAGCCAGTTTCTAAATGCATGATATGATATCATCCATAATCCTAACTGATTGTCTGGTGATCCATATTTTCAGTTACCCAGAAGTCAACTATCATTGTATTTCGATTGTCCAGTATCATTGACGGATATTTAGCCAAAGTATGCAATACATCATATAACCGTTTGCCCAGTAATTTCTCGCTGTCCAGTGTCCAGAAGTCGACGAGTGGAAGCACGGTGGAGAGAGTGCTGAGAGTTTGAGTATCCGTGACGAAGCGATTTAGCGGTCTCCCATACACAGTGGAGTAGTGGAGATATTCTGCTGTCTCTCGGGCGGATTCCACTCTTTACACCTCTTAGGTTAGGCGTTCGACCAACCGACGCAATATTGTGTTGAAATAAAACACTTTAAATAACTATCGATACTTAGTCTTAGGGAATGACCTGTTGAACTGTTGATTGTCCCGTAGATCGATTGTTGTAATGCATCTGAAACGTCGTTCAGTATTTTCACCAGTTCGTTACGGTCAAATCCCGAACTCCGATAGACTTTAACTGTATAAGAATATATTTTAAACGTTATTATGTGAGTACGGATTAGTTAGCATTGCTTGTCGATATGTCATCAATATCACCATGCGATGACTCCCAATCGTGGTCCCGTGGAAGTCAAATTGTTTAGTAGGCCTAAGTTGTTAGTCTACCACTTACTACGGTTTAGCATGGCCGTCTTGGATAAATATCACAACTTATTTAGTGAATTTAGGCTGATTTTCCTGTGACGACATGCATCTTTGTTCTGATTACTTTAACTAGAGTAATCTGGTCAGTAGGTTTATTCTCAATTACATCGCTTCATTATTCAATATTACGTTTTACAGAAATAAAGGTTGATGATGCGATGTGATGCAATACTCTAATTGTTATTATCTGATAATATACCCTACCTGCGCCTACATTATCGTTACCAAATGTAATTTCTCTATCTATAAAATAGAAACGAATTTTGTCTCAGATGTTTTCATTCTGTTTACATTGATATTACTTGAACAGATTCAAATTCAAGTGATTCAAAACGAAATTCCAAGAATAGCAGTGAATGCTCCCTGGTTTGTTAGAAACAGGCATATACATGAAGCTAGGAGTGTAGTCTATCTCGGCCTTTATTGAAAAAACCACCTCAAAATTTCTGAAATCTTTAAACATGTTCCTAATGCATTGACTTTTCGTCTTGGTGAAGCAACGGAGAACAGGAGGTTACGTCGAAGGCTCCCTCAAGATCTATTGGATGAATGAAGCCAAAAGAAGATTATAAATATATTTCTCTAAATTATTTATGTTACAGGGTGTCTCCACGATGTTATTATTGTTAATTTCTTGTTTATTTTGTTAACACTTCTGCATTAACATGTGGTTTAGACAATTCCATTCAAGCAATGTTAAAGAACGTTAATTTTCGGGCCGGAAAAATTTGTTTATGTTATGGTCAATTAATGTTCTATTAATTAATGTTCTGTTCAAGGCCCCAAAACTAGTGTTTTCTAACCAACAATGTGTGTGTGTTTTATTTATGGTATAGCCTAATTATTGTTTGTCATGTGTTCGGTACAATAATGTTCCCAGCTGTATCAGCTGACAGCGCGTTGCGTCGTCTGCTAGATCGCGTCGCTGCAGTGTATAGCAGAGAAATGTAGGATGATTGTTATTGTTGTTGTTGAGACGCCAGTCATCGCTGTTTCTCTCCGGCCCGGTTTACTTCTGAACGTGTCTTTGACGAGAAACCCGTGACGGAACTGTGAAACTCTGAAGATTTGTGTTCAAATAAGAAATATTTCAAAATACAATGAATGTGTTGAATTTGGACTGGTTAAAAAATTATTAATTAGATGGGGGATTATCAATTCTATTGTCGTTAAAGAGTCCCTATTTAGGGTTCTATTGACGCTTAACCCTTACTTCGAAGGTATACCTATATGAGTCTAAAATCATGAAAACTTATCCGATTTTCACCTCTGTAAGTTCTAAGGATGTTGCTAGTTGAACTGTTTCTTTGCAGACGATTTTCAAATAGCACATAAATTCATGGAGTGTGAGAGAAAATAGCTACAAGTATTTTTCTTGTTTATGCAGGTGTATGAGTTTTGTTTGATTTGTATGTTATTACAAATGTTTCAATAGTTGAGCTATTATGTCGTAGAACGTACAGTATGACCTTTGACTATTAATACAACAACGTTGTAATTGTTAAGTACTTGTTGTGTGTAACGTCTAACATCCACATCTGATTGGCTAAACTAAGACCGATCCTCATAATCAATTAATTATTTCGGGAATGTAGTGCGCGCCTGCCTGGCTAATAATCTGGAAACATAGGTGTAACGCATATTGCCTAGCTTGCATTGAAGGCGCTCTGAAGTCGGACATTAAAGTCAAGATTGGAACTAAGAAACTTTGCAATTTTATGCTGGCCATAGTTAAGACATGTCTCTTCTCCACTGAAATTAGACTGGGAATAAAAGTTACAGCATTTGGAACGTTAGAAAATGACGTTCTGAACATGGGATTTCAATGAGGAATTTAGGAAAGTTCATTAGTATTCAGGTTTTGATACAAAAAACCTTCTGTTAGTTGTATTTTGCTTCAGAATTTTGTACATATTTGGATCCATATTTCAGTAGTCTAAGGATTTGTTATTGTTTTGGATATTTGTATATTTGTTTCTGGTGGTACATGTGAATATTTCGGTTTTGTGAGGCAACTGATCAACATCAACCATTAAATATGACTGCTAATAATCTGAGAAGAAAGGATGAAGTAGCTTATGAGCTTCGGATTAGAGGAGTTGATTTTACTTGCTCAGAAAACGTCTCAATCAGTGACTGTTTACTAATGTCTTAGCATAGATAAATCATACTCACTTAGTCTATGGTATTAGTTAAGGAAACTGTTGTCAATAAACTTGATGTGGATTTAAAATTTAAGGAGAAGTATGAGGATATCGTCTAATCAGTAGACGAGAATGATGGTAAGGGCAAGGACTATGAATACCAACGCATATCTGTGAGGTTGTATCATCTATACAGAATAATTGAGAGGATCCCAGTTGGAAAACCATAAGCACAGAAAGTGATTTCAGGGAAAACAGAATTGTTGTCCAAAGGTTTATTGCAGACATTTTCCATCAAGATGGTAAAAAAAAACCATCGTTGGTAACAGTTTTTTACCATCATGATGGAAACTGTCCGCAATAAACCTTTGAACAACGTTAACCACAGAAAACATATTACTATAACCCATAATGCCAACCGCGTGGTAAAAGGCATTAAGTGTTTTGAGAGAGTTTTGCCTGTCAATCGTAGGCAGCGCCACCAGCGTTGCCAAACACTCAGCATAGCAACGCTGGTGGCGCTGCCTACGATTGACAGGCAAAGCTATCTCAAAACACTTCATGCTTTTTACCATGCGGTTGGCATTCTGGGTTATAGTAGTATGTTTTCTGTGACGTTAACTCACCATCACCAACAATGAACTTCAAACAAAAAAACAGAATTACTTGAAAATACGAAGGTTAGAGGAAGTTTTTAAGAAATCGAGGGTTCTTCAAGTCAAGGATATGGACAGACCAAGCAGGTTGCTACTGTAGAGGTAATTGCTTTGAGTAATAAAACTGATGTTTTGGACATGGAAATTTCCTGAAGCGATTCCTTTGTGAAAGATTCTGTTCCTATGACCAAGCATCAGCAAAACAGGAAAACGTCAAAATTGTATGGCCAGGAAGTCAGTGCCTGTATATTAATGGGGAACCAAGGTCAACAATGAACAAAAGCAGAGTATTGGGCATTGGGTCGTTTCTTGAAAGAGTAGAGGAGTTAAGAAGAGCTCAAGGAGTTAGCGAGGAAGAATTATTCGAGTCAGCTGGAGACTTGTTTGAGGACGGTTATGGTCATCATTACCTAAAACATTTCCAGGAGTGTCTTCCCCTCTGAAGCTGGATTTAGCTTGTGCTACCTCTTTCAGAAGAAAATTTCCCCCTACCAAAGTGGCAGCAAACCAGACTGGTAGATTTCCATCGAATATGAAAAGTTGGAACTGCGGAGAGCTTGGTCATCGTTATTCTGCATGCAGACAGGATCAGAAAAAAATCTGCTGCGACTGTGGTCAGCCTGATGTCGTGAAAGCTAAGTGTGATAGAAGCGTACCAAAAAACTCGTAAGGCCGGAGGTTGGCATACAGTTTCAGGCACCTACGGCAAAACCAAAACAAACCATTTCAAAATTGATCATCTCTTAAAATTCAAAGAAAATAATAGGCAGCCACACTTGGATGTCAAGATCTTTGGGAAGAATGTTCAAGCCTTGCTAGATTCAGGAGCATTCCACCCATTGAGCACATAATATTCATAAAGAGGTCACACTTCTATAAGCGAATTACAGCAGGATGTCGCCAGTCCAGAGGGCCACGACCCAGCCAAGATGGCAGATGAAAGGATGACTCGCCACACTAGCGAGCGCCGAACCAACTACGGCGGTGTAATTGGGCAATTCACTGACTGTACTGTATAGACGCACGTATCTTATAAACGCAAATATATGTTTTAAGTTTTAAGTTTTTGTAAAGCTTTTATTTTCAAACGGTGACAACCGTAGTAAGGTGTGTTCTGTAGAGTTATTTCATAGAACAGTATTAACAGTTATACTGGTGATAGTTTACATATTTTTGATTGATTCAGTTTTATTTAGTTATTTAGCTTAGTTTCAACAGTGCATTATTTAAATTAAGATACACAAATGCCGCAAACATGTTCTGCCTACGGATGCAACAATAGGGGGAAAACTATTGAAGCACAGGTAAGCATTAAAATTAACAGCAATAATAGTTAATCTGGAAAAATAGGTGTAACATAGATTGCCTAGCTTGCATTGAAGGTGCCCTGAAGTCAGACATTAAACCAGCCTCCAGTGAAGGTAGATTGGAACCAAGAAATGTTGTAATTTTATGTTGGCCATAGTTTTAAAACCCACCCACTTCTCCACTGAAATTAGCCTGGGAATATCAACAGAATTTGGAACGTTTAATAATAATTATATTCAAAAAACAGGACAACAAAAAGTTAAGCAGTATACAGTAAGAAGTCAAGGTATTTACAGTCCTTAAAATCTAAACATTTCAACAAAGCAGATTAAGCTTAAGCTATAGTAGTCTATAGTCACATTTCTATGAGGGAGGAATAAATAAATTAGTTCAATAAATTAACAGTTTTAATTGACAATGTATTCATTTAATTTATTTATGTACTTTACATGGTTTATTAAGATGAAAGTTACTAAAAATTTTATAAATTGATGTATAAAATCTAATGATGCCATAATAGACTATATAATATATAACATATCACATTGATTTAACCAGATAGTTTCACATATGATCTCTGATCACGATGACATTTAAATGATCCCATTTATTTTTACAAGATTCAGAAACAGGTAGTGGTAGTGTCCAAAATTATTTGTAGGCTATTATATCCTTATTCTATGTATATCATTTTTTTCAGACAGAGAGTAAACCCATTTAACACGTTCGCTGCTGAAAACCTTTACACAGGCGCTCGAAAACTGTGGCGAGGCTCGGGCGGAGCCCCGGCGCGCTACTGAATCAGCGATCGCAATTGGCATTCAAATATCTCAGAAAGACCAATCACAAAATATAGCATTAGGCCGCAGCAAACGTGTTAATTGAAGAAAACCCTCAAAGAATTAGTTAACAAATTGGAATAATTTAGTATTTTTAGAACTTTTTGGGTCTCGGGAGCAGACAAATTATAAGTAAAAAGAGATAGAAAACAAATAGTATTTTTGGTAAAAACATTATGTAGGTTGTGCCGGAGAGAGTAGTTTGAATCTCCTGGTAGAAGGCTGGTAAATTTTTCAAACAAAAGTTTTTCTCCTTAGTTTGTCTTCAGTATAGTCCCACATGTTAAATTAGCTTAGGTGATTAGGTTATGTATAAAAATGGATTTAATCCTTAATAACTTTTACTATATGGAATGTTAATGCAAAAAGGTCATTTAAGCCCCTAGCGAAGACACAACTTCAGCGGGTTCGAGAAAAACCCAAAAGTCTGGCGAAGTTGACGGGAAATAGCTAGTTTCTCTATAGTCTATATTATACTATTCACATTCTCCGACAACTTTTCCTACTGACTAGTTGTTGTCTTGCCTATTGTCTAGGTAAAAATCTTCAGGTTGTTGACTTTGTCTGATCTTGAACTATCTTCATATGAATCTTCTCTGTCGGATCGTCTGTAACAGTCTGTTGTATTTTTTTTTTAAGTACTGTGACTACAAACTAGTGACCCGACACTGATGCCAAGAGGAAAATTTTAAATGTTGAAAAGTGAAATTTGTGACTATAAGAGGTAAAGGAGAACTATGGCAGTTAATTATTGTAAAGTTTTTCTAGTGGTGCGACTTTAACAATGCATATTCCTCCTTGCTTGAATGAGAAAACTTTCTTTTGGAAAAATCTTGAGAAAACTTTCTTTTGAAAAATTTCCTATATAGGGAATAAGAAGCTATTACCGTAGGTAGCTAAGACCTACACTGGGGATTGATATAGGTACTTTTTTGTTTTGGTGACTCCAAAAACCAAACAAATCAAATATAATTAGGCAACAACGGTAAAAAAGGTAATATTCCTTTAACTTAAAGACACTATGTTCAGGTTATTTGAAAACTTTAATAATGCATTTAGAATAGATTGGATTGATTTAGAGGTTGTCGGAGTTACCTTATGCATCACATGAAGTCTTTTGGTCCAATGTGTACTTTAAACATTTGTAGATGTATATATATTGCTCCTGAAACAAATTTTGTAAAGCAAAACAGAATTAATATTCTTAATCTGAATGTCATGACTAATTTATTGCACGTTTTGTTTAAGGAAAGGCTCTAGGCCAGGATTTTAAAATGTAGAAAAAGGAGGATAGCAGCTAGCTTACCTTGAAAGTGTGGGTAGGCCATAGAACAAGTAGAAAAACATTTTGCACACAATATTTCGTCCCCTAAGGGACTTTGTCAAGTGTAAATAAATAAATAAATAAATAAAAATGCCTTTATGGGCAAGCCTCTTTCAGTACAAGAACTGTTTTACAAAGTACAGTAACTCATGTCAATATAACAAACTTAAAAATATACAAAAATTATGATACAAAGCAATGTGTATGAGAAAACAAAATTATGAGCTACATACAGTACTTTGCTACAGTACACCGCTTTTGCTCACTGTTTTGCTCACTGTATTTCACGTGACCTCTCGAGTGAGAGGTGTATGAGTGCTGGTGTCGCAAGAAGCTTCAAACATAACTTTGGGAAACCTCTGCTTTCTGACCGCATCAACTCACATTTAACATGTCAAAAATCATATAAGGGTGTTTTTGTTTATGGACTAGCTACTAAAAACAAGTTTTACGAGAAGCCATCAATATTTGACTACCAGCTTGCTTTTCAACAGTTGATACAGGATTTTAGAAAAAAAGGATTAAAAACATTATATTGTTCGCCAATGGGATGTGTCAGGGACTTGATTCCACCCTCCATTTTTATTGACAACATAAAAAAATTTCAAAGGTCTACCGGTGCTAGCGTAAATGTCATAGTCTATGAGGAAATGTCAACTAGAAAACTAAGAAATGGCCTTTCATATGTTGAATTTGTCAAGATGCTACAACAATCCTTCGGTGTCCCAAGACAGTCTCATATTTCCAACATTCAAGAAACCTTCTCAAATGGTACTGAAGCTGTTTGTGTTGATGATTCTGGCAACAGGGGAGACCATTCCTCAAGAGATCTTTCCCAACATGATACCATGTCTTCTGAATCTCTTGTAAATTCTACTGATCTAACCAACATCTACACTGCAAACTTTACATCACCAACTACTGAGCTGCACACTACTGTCTCCGGTCCTACACTGCTAGAGTCTGCACTCAGTGATAAAGTGAGAGTGTCTCCGGGTGTTCTCACTTACAGTGAGACACTAAAGCAGAGTAATGGTGTGTGTGCGGGGGTTGCTGTGATCAGCCCAAGTGTAAATATTAATGAAATCTGTAAATCTAAATGTCATATTAATGTAGAAAATACCACTGTAAATAGTACTATGTTAGGTGAACAAATCGATGAAGTTTTTTTAGAAATAACAAAATAAATAACATATTACCGGTAGCTGCAATTATGGATGATTTTGATTTTACTGTAAATAATAATGCTAAAACAAATAACAATGAAAATCAAGAATACTTAAAAATTTTACAGGTTAATATCCAGTCTATTAGGAACAAAATGTTAGAATTAGAACACTTTTGTGCCATAGAGCAAGTGCATGTAATTTGTATGTCTGAACATTGGTTAGAGGAGCGGGAAGTTGAATTCTTTGTTCCTAAAGATTTTATTGCTGCAGATATCATGTGTAGGAAAAGTATAAAAAATGGTGGGGTAGGAATATTTTTAAGAGAAGGGTTAACCTTCACCAAAATAGATGTTAGCTTATTCTGCATTGAGCTTCATTGTGAATTTAGCTGTATTAAAATAATTGATTATGATCTTATAGTTTTAAGTGTTTATAGATCCCCTAGTGGTGATATTGGTTTGTTTCTGGAAAATTTTGAGCTTGCTGTGAAAAAGCTGTTAAAGTCATTTAAATTTGTAGCCATTGCAGGTGATTTTAACATAGAAATGATAAAAATGGAAAAGAAGACATCTATTGAATTTGCCAATCTGTTACGAAGTCTAAATTTAGTTTGTACAAATAAAAAACCTACAAGAGGAAAATCATGCATAGATAATATAATTGTAAACTTTTCATCAGATTTATATAACATAAATACAGTAGGAGGTTGTTTTGCAGACCATGAACCTTTAATATTAGATTTTTTACAGAAAACTATAAAACAATGTAACAACTCAAAAGAAGGAACAAAACAAATAATACGAAGGCAAAATGAAAGTAATATTAAACACTTTGTTGATCAATTGGTACAAGAGAAATGGGAAATGATAATGGACTATAAAATGGGTAAAATTAATGAGCAATTACTATTTGATGAATTTGTTAAGAGATTAGTATCTTTGTGGCATTTTAGTTCCCCATTAGTTAAGTGCAAACAAAACAATAGACATAAGAAAGGAAAACTTAATTGGTATAATGAAAAGTTAAGGAAACTTAGGGAAAAAATGCTTCTTTGTTTTTCTGTTTATAAGAGCTTACTCAAACATAAATCAAATAATTTGGAAAATGCCTATAGAACCTATATTGATTGTAAAAAGGCCTACAATCGTGAAATAAAATTAGCCAAAAAGCAAGCTTTTGAAAGATATATTGATAAGGCCCCCAACAGGTGCAAGGCTGCTTGGGAAGTTATAGGCCTATCGCATGAATATTCTCCTACATCAACTAAGTTGGAGGTTTTGGATGCTGACAATCTCAATAACTATTTTATTGAATGTGTTAATGAGCTGGAAAATGAAATCCCTCTCACCAACACACCTGCGCATGAGTTGCTGGGGACTCCCCCTATAGGACAATTACATTTCCAATGGAGGGAGGTATCATGGCAAGAGGTTAACAATGTTGTAGCTAATTTCTCAAATTCAAAAGCTATGGATCATTACTGGTTTTCAAATTATAGCATCAAACAAATAATTCATTTTATAAGTGAGCCTCTGGCTTTTTGTATTAGTAAATGTTTGAAAATTGGTTATTTCTCTGACCTTCTCAAAATTTCTAAAATTATTCCAGTATATAAAAAAGGTGATAAAAATCTTCCTAGTAATTATCGCCCTATTTCAATAGTGCCAATCTTTTCCAAAATTTTTGAATGTCTCATGCATAAACAAATGAATGAATATTTTGAAAATAACAATTTGTTGACAAATTCGCAGTTTGGATTTCGAGAGGGTAAATCAACAACTGCAGCTGTCTTAGAAGTAATTAATAAATCTTTAAATGCATTTGAAAATAAAGAAACTGTTTCATTAACTTTATTTGATCTTACAAAAGCTTTTGACTCTGTACCTTTTGATATTTTATTCAAAAAACTTGAATTTTATGGTATTACAGGTGAAACTTTAAAAATTTTAAAATCCTATTTAACTAATAGAAAGCAGTATGTATCTGTTGGAGGCAGTCAGTCTAACTTAAGATTGGTTGAAGTAGGTGTTCCACAGGGCTCGGTTTTGGGACCCTTCTTGTTTTTAATCTCGATAAATGACCTGCCGAGGAATGTTGATGTAGACACTGTTGTATATGCTGATGACACAACTTTGATTGCAACAAATAGAGATATCCATGAGCTTGATTTAATTACTAATGAATCAATAACATCAGCACTAAATTGGTTTTCTTCAAATAAATTGACATGTAATCAAGAAAAAACACAGAAAATTCTTTTGAGTCTATCCCCACTTGACAATGAATTAAAATCTGTAAAATTATTAGGCTTCCAAATTGATTCAAAATTAAATTGGCAAGAGCACATAGAAATCACTTGTAAAAAAATTTCCAGAGTAAATTATCTAATTTGGAAACTCAGAGATTTTGTTAGTAATGAATACCTTCGGATTACTTATTTTGGTTTTTTTCAATCTCATATTTCTTACGGGATTATACTATGGGGACACTCCCCCCACACCCATGAAATTCTTTTATTACAAAAAAAGTCATACGAACAATTTGTGGGGCTGGCCCTGTGGATAGCTGTCGACTTCTTTTTATAGACCTTAAAATTATGACCGTTGTAAATTTGTATATTTTTCACATACTCCTCTACACTAAAGCCAATCTTCATCAATTCACTAGTAGAGAGAGTATACACTCTTACAATACAAGAGGCAAATCCAATCTAGATATCCCTGCACATAGATTGGCCAAAACAGATAACTGCCATAAAATAAATTGCATACGGTTTTTTAATAAATTAGGTCTGACAGCAAAACAGGTTCCTTTTAATAGGTTTAAGTCTAAAATGTTTGAGTGGCTCATCCAAAATCCATTTTACTGTATAACAGAGTACTTAGTTTCTGATGTTAATATTAATTTTTAATTTAGAACCCACTGTATTTTATAGCTTTAGTTTTTATTTATTGTTGACTATGTCTATTCCTTGTAAAAGGTCAATGACAATAAAGATCTTGATTCTTGATTCTTTACACCTTCTTTACTTTTCTTTTGAAAGCCAGGACCCCCAGCTGTTTTAGGTCCAAGGGGAGATCATTATATATCTTTGGGCCAAAGTAAGAAAACCCTTTTCTACCCACTTCTAGTCTTACTTTTGGAATTTGGAGCAAGGCGTTCTGCCGGGTCACACGTTGAGTCACCTCCCCACGTGCCACAAGGCTCTCCACCAAGTACTTAGGCTCTTGCTGAACCAAGACCCGGTGGATGAGGCTACAAGTCTGCGCCCTGCACACGGCACCCATTGACAGCAACCCCGCAGCATTCCGGAATGGGGATACGCGTTCACGCTTACGGATACCGTAAACGAAACAAATTGCGGAGTTCTGCACTTTTTGCAATCGGGACATCTCTTCCCTTGAGATGCTGTTGCCGTATGCAGGTAAACAGTAATGGAGCACTGACAACACTAGTGACTGTACCAGCTGCAGCTTGGCTGTCTCTGGCAGGATGTTTTTGTACCGGTACAGACCACGCAGCCTTCCCAAAGCCATCTGGGAAACATAAGTGATGTGGTCCGAGAAAGTGAGGCCACTGTCAAGTACCACACCCAAGGTCTTGACGGTATCCGTCACCATTAGAGGTTTTCCTGCGATTTGAACGTGCATGTCTCCATTTGCAACTGTGTGAAGAGTAGTGGGTGTAGCAATATGAAGAATCATGCATTTTTCAGAGTTAAATTTCAAACCATGTTTGCGTGACCACTCACTTATTCTCACCAGATCAGAGTTCACTCCTGCAAAAGCTTGATCAGCAGCCTGAATCTCATAGGAGAAATGCAATTGGCAGTCATCGGTATATGAATGCACATTGCAGTGACTCACACATCTGGACAGATCTGCAGTGTACAGGGTAAACAAAATGGGCCCCAGACAGCTCCCATTTTGTTTACCCTGTACACTGCAGATCTGTCCAGATGTGTAGAGAGAGCTTATAAATTACAAGATGGCTGCTGTCATGGCTGATGGCTGTTGTCAACTATGCAGGGTTGCCACATCTCATTAGTCTATTTACAACTATGTACACAACTTTATATATACACACACATATAATATTTTATATACAAACTAGGCCTATTATGTATTTAGCTGGGACAGGTTTATCTTAGGTTAAGGTTGGGGGGAGTTCTGGAGTTGGTTATATACTGGGATGCCAGTTCCCACCTTCTTAACATGGAAGGGTTGCATTCATCCTTTGGAAGTGATTTTATTACTTTAGTTGTGAAGCAACTATCAAAGTCCATGTTGTGGCACGACTTTTGCTAGAAAATCTCAAATACATGTAGAAGACGTATAATATTTACAGTAGCAAAGTTGCATTGAGAACTTTATCCTGTCCTTGAAGATTTGGGGGATTCAACAAAAACAACAAATCTTTAAAGAAACACAATTAGTAGGCTACAGATATTGGAGGGTAGAAGAACACAATGGAAATGTCTGCACACTATGTTTTGAGAACTGCAAGAATGTTTTTATGGGATCATATTCAAGAATCCTAAATGTTGTAAAACTTTTTTATTGTAACGGATAAGTTAATGTCCACAATAATCTATCAAAAGATCATAGTAGATTCTAAAATATTATTTCATCGTAACCATAACTTAATATTTATCTTCCAGAGGATGAATTAGTGTTCACATTGCATAACAATGTACACCAGTTTAAGAAAGAATGAAACAAACTAACCTTGGTTTGAACCATTTGGTTGTGGCGTTGTTGTCGCAAACACAAAACTGTTTTGGGAACACTCAGTCTGCTGCGGTCAGGGCTGCAGATTTTACGCAGCAACTCATCAACAACTATGAAAGTTCCAGTTCTTCCCACGCCAGCGCTGTTAGTGAAAAGAGAAAATGAAGGGATAAAGACATAATCTGTGATTTTATGACAAAACATGAAAGATCTGTCAACACTTTAAACTCAAAGGCAAAAGATTTGATTTTAAAAATGGTCTTGAAACATCTGATCCCAATCAGTTACAAAACTAGACAAGTAATATTTCTTATCCTAGATTCGTGTTTCATTCATATTAATTTGGTATAAAGTACACCTAAAGGTGGGTCAGCACATGCAGCATTCGCCAAGCACCAAAAATTTGACTAGTGGTGACAAGATACACGGTTAACACAGTGGAAATAAATAGTCAGGGGCATTCCTCAAATTTTTGGTAATAGGTGAAATAATACTATTTATTTGTCAATTATTACTGCCTCGTCATGGACGTTACATCTGGTCACCGTTAACCTTATCAGCCTTATTTCACTCGCTCGGTCTAACTGTTCAGATTACGTTACAAAAATAGTCGTATCACCAAAGTACTATGTTGTGATGGGTGCTGTTAATAGGAGGGCCGGATTAGCGTTATTTCACTCATCCTTTCTAACACACGTAACAAAAATAATCACATTCTCCATAAAGTCACATTTACAACACACAACGAACAAGATAGTTCTGTTGTTCCAAGACGGATACCTATTATAGACTGTCAAGCACCACCACAAGAGATCCACCCAGAGTCTGAATCAAGTTCAAACAATCCAACAGAACTAGACGGTACTCTAAGGGAAGAAAATCTAGACAGACCTCAAGCCACAGAACAAAAAGAAAACAAATTAACTCGTCCTTCCAGACAGTGCAAGGTTCCGTCCTATCTTAAGGACTTTGCTCTCCAGTGATTAAGTGGGGTAGAATATTACTAAGGTACTATTACCTTGTGATGCTCGATGTTTTTGTAAGACGCTATCAGCTAGATAGTTATTTTATTCGTTTAACAGTTACAGTTCAGATTAAGTTCCTAAAATAATAGGGTATTCTCTGTAATCTATTACCAGGGTATTGGGTGATACTTCAGTAACAGTATTGTTTTAGTCTGTCAAATAATGCCCACCTGGTAGTGTCCTACTTGTGTTATTACTTGCTGAGCAGAGGTGCCAACAGATTTTTCACTTTCCAAGTCAAAGAAATCGTTGAAGCTGGACTTTCATATAATCTGCTTTTGTTAGGCTATTTTAGCTGTAGGAAATTTGTTGATGAAGAAAATTAAACCTAGTAAAAGGAGATAGTGAATAAAATCAGCAAGTCTAAACAAATATTCATTTATAAATAATATTTCTAAATCTAATAGAAATTCCTTTACCAAACTTTAGGCAGAAAACTGAATTTTTGGATCGAGCAATGGTTCGCCTTCTTCCGAGTATACAAGTAACTTTCTTGGACAGAAATCGCTGACAAGGAACAAAAACCGACAAGCTTTGACCTTAGCTGAATGATGAAAACCCATCCACTGTAGTAATAATTCAGCAAAAACCACAAGGGGAGCCGCATTTAGGTGCAACCGCATCTATTAATAGTAATGGTGAATTTGAATATGTAGCACCGTTAATAAAAATTACCATTTTGGGTGTATTGATAATAATCAATAATCATGCTCTGATAAAGATCTGTAGAATCTTGCAAGGAAAGATATAAATTATTTCTCAATAACGGACATTAGCTTTAGACATACAGTACCTGCAATGTACAACGAGACGATCTTCTTTCTGTTTGCACGTTGTCCTGACTGCATCTATAAAGTCTACCAACATCTTGGGATCTGGGGGCGCACAATGATCAAACCATTGTTGGAACTGAAAGTGTTGGACCTTCCACTTTACACCAACCTGCGAATTAAAAGATTATTTTGAAGGACAGACGACAACTTATTGAAAGTCTCGACATAATAAATTAGTAGACCAACCATAATCAGCAAAGCATCCAGTTAAAAATCCGACCATTATGGCTTCCAATATTAACCAGCAATCTTTAAAAATAAGTGGAAAATATGATTGAATATGAGATACAAGAATTAAAACAAAAACACTCCATGTCATTTGTATTTGTCTTGATTTATCAACTAACAGCAAGGTACGTGAGAGACAAAGGAAAAATATGTAAATGTTTCATTCAAAATTTAAATTGTCCCTTCTCTTCAAACTTTTAACATCACTTTGCCATGTTATTTGTTACAGACTTGCTTAAGCCACAATCTTGTGCAGTGTCCATTGTGTTCTCCTAAAATCATTTGTTACTATTTGTTTTTTCTTTCAGAATAATATTTTCTAGTTTTGACTTTTATACATTTCTCTGCGTGGTTTTACATTGTGATCTCCCCAGGCCCGTTTTTGATCCTGTCAGCGCCCTAGGCACAACTAACAGTAGCGCCCCTTTGCAATATATATAACAGGGTGTCCACCAACCGGGAAATCCGGGAATCATGCGGGAGTTTTTTGAACCGGGAATTATGTCTGAATTTTGTATTTCTACCTAGAGTTTTCAATTTATCGTGATCGCACATGACAACATCAGTGATGTTTCCGTGACCGCGGGAGACGATAATATGTCTACACACGGCCGCGAGGGATGATCAGAATATTACCACGATCACGGAAGACAATGATAATGTCCACACGACCGCGGGAAACAGCAAGAATTTTGCCGCGATTGCAGAAGACGATGATGATCTCCACACAACTGCGGGACATGATTAACATTTTGCCGCAATCGCGGGAGATGATTTCCATGTATTAACGACCACGGGAGACTGTTACGATGTCTACAGGACTGCGGGAGAGACAATAATGATTTTTACACGGCTGTGAGGGATGATCAGAATTATGCCACGATCGCGCAAGACAATGATAATGTCCACATGACCGTGGGAAAAATTTTGCCTCATTCGTGGGAGACAATGATTACCATTTTTCCGCAATCGCGGGAGATGATTACAATGTCTTCACGACTACGGGAGACGATTACGATGTCTTCACGACTACGGGAGACGATTACGATGTCTTCACGACTACGGGAGACGATTACGATGTCTACAGGACCGCGGGAAATACGATAATGATTTATACACGGCCGTGAGGGATGATCAGATATTGCCGCGATCACGGAAAACGATGATAATGGCCAAACAGTCGCGGGAAAAGGTCGGAACTTTGCCTAATTTTCGGAAGAGGATGATGATCCCCACAAGACCGAGGGAGATAATTACCATTTTGCCACAATCGCGGGAGGCGATTACTTTGTCCACAAGACCGCAGGGGACGATATAATGATGTCTTCACGGCCGCGAAGGGTGGTCAGAATTTGACCGTGATCGCGCAAGACGAGGATAATGTCCACACGACCGCGGGAAGAAGATCAGAATTTTCCCTCATTCTTGGTAGACGATGATAATTTCCTCACGACCGCTGGATATGCTTATGTATTGCCTCGATCATGGAAGACGATAATTATGTCTAAACGACCCGACCACGGAAAATAGTTAGAATCTTGCCGCAATCGCGGGAGACTATTATGATGTCTACACGGCCGCGAGGGATTATCAGAAGTTTACCGTGATCGCATGCAAACACCAATTTTTTTATTTACCAAATTGTTGGCGCCCCCCAAAAAAGCCAATTGCCTCGCGCCCTAGGCACGTGCCTACCGTGCCTATTCGGTAAATCGGCCCTGGATCTCCCAGCTTTGTCTAAGCTTTGTCTATGCTAATCTTTTTATATCTTGTGTACACTCTCTCCTGAGGACAGTATCAGGATTCAGATAGAAAAATGTCATGAAATCTTTGTTTGTTACTAATCGAGATGGAAGATATCAGCAATCATCTCTTTGATAATTTAAACTTACCATCGCCGAAATTGACCATCGCTGTATTCAATAATAAAGGTAGAGGAAACAGTTGTGGTTTAAAGGACGACAAACTATTATTGTACCTTGACAGTCCAGTGTATGTAGAATAATTAAAACCCTACTGTATTTGATTATATTACGATGTCCACGGTGCATATGATTTACCTTTTCTACTGTCAGATATTTCAGAGTGAAGTAGGTGAAAATCTCTTCTCGAGTACAGGAAATTTTGAACTCGCCAAAAGTCAATTGTCCAGATTCAATTGGAAAATATGGGTAGCATTTTACCTGAAACAACAAAACTTTTACAGATACTAACAACTTTAGTAGTGCAACAAACTGGAGTTCCAACTTGATTTTATTGGACTTCAGTGTCATAGTTGCATTTAATTACTGAATTTGGCATCTAAACCTACATTCATGTAATCCAGAATGTTGCAAAAGGGCAACTAGTTTTTATTACTCTCTAAGACATCTTCAGGTAATGGATGCCTTGTCACATCATTTGAATGTGGCGACATGAACATAAATTAAAAATATAAGTGCACACGGACATTAAATACACGAACATTTAAAAGACAAAAACAATAATTAACACTGATTGTAGATGGGACCCGACATGATCCGGCAAAAGTTTTGTTTAGAAGCTGGGTCTAGACATGACATTATTTTATACAATCCTTTTTTTAGTACGGAAATCAATCTCTTTACTAATTATCAACTTGGTCACTCAAGATGATTTCAGGAACTTTAAAGTTTCCTTTTTGTAATTCAACTCACATTATTAGTAAACTTTCTTAACACGTTCAGTGCGGCAGGCATTTTAACATTCGCTCGCCAATGGCGACGAGACCCGGGCACGGCACCGTAACAGTGAACGCAATTGGCATTCAAATATTTCAATCTGACGATTAACAAAAGAGCAGCGGTGATTGTACTATGTTACCCCGAGATTGGACGTAGTTCCCTAAAACACCCAAAGGTAGCAGTACTGCCTGGATCAGTAGTCAGTGGCTTTGTAATATGGCTTGAAGAGAGAAAATCCCCGAAACCGGGACAAAAGCATTGTCAGACGGGATTTTACGGGAAATTTTAGTACCAACCTACACCAAAATAAAGCTCACATTCTAAGCTGCAGGCTAGCAATGATTTTAACGTTCCCCGGCAATGGCTGAGCTCATACTGAACTAAAGTAGTGGGGGTTGCGCAACTGCATCAATTGATGTAGGCCGGTAGGAGCGCTCGTGGCGCGACTACATCAATTGATGCAGTAGTCAGCACTGAACGTGTCAAAGAGCTATACGAGTTGATTGGATGGATTTAGAATTGTAAACATTAAATACTGTGACTACTATATATACAGCCAAGAAATGTGCTGATTATTTAGTCAACTGAATAGTCAATTATTTACTTATAATATTGACTAAGTCGATAGTGCAAATCCATACTTAATCTCATAGACCTTTACAAAAGCCCATAACCCCAAGATAATAGTGAGGTCTGTTACACTTACCTGATCATTGGTACATAGCTTGCACAGCATTGCAATCGTTTTCACCTTATATTGCACAATCATCTGCCAGAAGTTTGCACAGGTTTCTCTCTTGGGGGCTTGACAAGCTATGTAGGACCTTGAACTTTTGTCTTGAAACTAAAACAAAGTAATTTTAGTTTCCTAACTTCAAAAATTAGCTTAGAAACAAAATACTTTTAAAATATTACTTTCGACTAAGCCGGTTAAAGTAATATAGCGATGGCTTGAGATTGCACCTCTTGTTATGGGTATGGTTAGCACTAGTCATAATTGTACGACTAATTGTAGCGTACATTTTTAACTTGGATATTGCGACAATAAAAAGACAGCTCAATTACACTTCTGTGACGACTTGACGGTCACTAAAGAGACAAACATGTCTGTACTTGAAAGTGTTCACATTTATATCAGCGTCAGGCGGAAACGTGTCTTACTTTGCAAAATGCCGTTGTAGATGCAATATTGTATACGGTTAAGCTTTATGTGAATAAATGCAAATTTAATAAACGATCTTTTGAAGGGTTTTATCATGGTTTGTTGAAGTTTTACCATGGTGAGACAGAAACTGGCTCTAAGTGATAAAAAGCTTTGTAATCAATATTTTTATAAGACAACATTACTTAAACCCTAAACGTTTATAAAAAAATAATTTAACTTATGTTATAGAATATTCAAACCTTAATGTGTGATGCATTGATGTAACTGTTAGTGTCATCTCCGTCCAGTTTAACCAGATTTGAGTCATCTGCAAAAAACACAGACATCTGTAGTTACAGTTTTAATGGTTTGATTTAGTTTCACCACTGACTTTAGACACTCACAGAGAACGTTTAATCCTCTTCCATATCAATGTTAAATATGGAACATGGTTTGATGTTTTTCATGTATGGTTGCATTAAAGTATGCTGATGTCAGTAAACACTTAAGTGAAATTTATAATCATCATATTATAAAATGATACAGTCAATTTTTTTGGTAATCGTTTAAGGTCTTTTACCTAATAAAATATAGGCATATTTGACTAATATATACAGGAATAGGCAGTGAAACGGCACGATTCCGTAACCAGCTGACAAGGAATATGGGGCTATTAGAGTACGGGGGAAATTAAATTACCTTAGGCGTCTAGACAATTGGAAATTTCAGTAGCCATGGAGTGTTGGATGATTGCACAGTATGCGTTTGCTGTAAAGGCATATTACAAAAATGTGGATAGTGTAGTTTCCGTTGTGAGTTCAGTATATCACCAAGGGCTCCAGTGCCACCACAGAAAGTTATCCTCCTTTGGATGAATAACTATGAAGCCACTGCTAGCACGACAAAGCGCTATAAAACGTTTGCAGACGTTTTGCAAACGCTAAAAAAGTTCAAGGGTGGATTTAAGTTGAAAATTCATTTCCACTAATTTATTAAAAAAAAAACAACTATTTTTTTTTCTAAATGAATTATTTGTGATTTTTCAAAATGGTGCCGTTTAAGTGCCTTGCCCTGTATATATTTTTGCCACATCAAAATTAAGATTTGAGTTTGTAGATTCAATAAAAAGTATTGGTTTGAACGAATTTCCTCAGGGCTAATCCATAGGCCCATTTCCTGCCTGAAGGGGGGGGGGATTTCCTTACATGCTTCCAAAGTTTAAATGAATTAATTCAATAACACAGCTGAGATGAAATTAACAGACGTTTGTTTTGTTTAAGCGAAAAACTTTTCATGGCACTTAATATACACTGTGGAAAATGTATTGGTATTGGTATGTAAAAAGGTTGGTAGCTGTACATACTACTGTAACATGTGACCGTGGAATATCTGATTCACAGTAGTGTATTTACCTCAAATTTGTCTATATTTTATACTCACAAGGAATGATGTTTTTATATCTATCTTTTCCTTTGTTTCGAGGAATCGTCGCAACATTAGTTGTGCCTAAAATGGTGGAAGTATCATCCATCAATTGACTGTATTCATCTTCCAGAAAAATTGAGAATCTCAAATGTTTGTTAACATGATCAACAAAGTCCTTAAATGGCATCTCTTGCATTGGCTTTTTTAGTCCATTGCTGTTGAACTCTGGGCTAGCAATAACTTTCTTCTCCTTGGTCCTGAAAGTTGATTAATTTAACGATTAGAGAATAAGATGTTTGTTTTGTAGATTTTACAATTAATTTTATTGATAAGAATTTAAGTTAACATAGGTTAGTTAAAAAAAAAAAAAAATATTAATCTGCTCCTAGGTGAAAAAATGTTAATACTTTACTTTGAATGAGAATGAGAATGAGATGAGAATGAGATTTTAGAGAATGAGAAAATCGATGATACTATATATTTTAAGCAAGTTCATTGTTATAACATTCCACCATTACTTAATATTATAATATTAATATTACTTAAGACTTTGCAATTGTAAATTAGGTCTAGTAAAACATTTTACTTGCAATTAATGTAAATACTTAATTATAAATTATTTTAACCAAGATTGTCTTCAAATCAAATATTCTTTATTCAAGCTGTACATACATATGAACAGTCACAGAAACAAAAACACAAACAAGTACATTACATCTTTAAGATTGATCATAAGGCTAGCAGACTGTGTAATTGACTTCAGCTCAACCAATTCAATGTTTTTAGATACTCTGTATATTAATTTTAAAACTGCCTCAATTCTTCTTGTTACTACATCTGATTTAATTCACTGATTGAATCAAATCTATTCAAACAACGAGGAAAGTATCCATACTTTTTTAACCTGCTACAGTATGCAATACAATAGTTCATTTAAAATTCATCTCTAACTTATTCGTTGTACCGATGGTTACTACTCAAAACTTTGTCTACTTTTTCACTCACCATTTTACGTGGCCTTTGACCACTAGGAGGACAAACGCAGTTGTTGTTACCGCAGCAATAATTATGAGAGCGATGACGACCAAACTGGCCTCTACGACTGGATCCACTGTTGATAACATTTTGAACAGTTAAAAATAAGTATAAGCAGTAGTTTTTCTGTTGAAAAGTGCTATGTATTTTGCAAAGGTAAACAAACATACGTGTTCGATATTCATATCTTTAGAGTATATATTTAGAAATCAATCATTATGTTAATTAAGACACTGGCTAATTAATCATGTTAATGTGTATATAAATCACCATCCTATTTTGTGTAATATTACTAAGTCTCAGTAACAATTTATTGTAAATAGAATCCCGCTTCTCAATATTCAAATGAGATTGCTAAGTCCCCTCGAAATTCCTACCATATTAAGGTCTATTTTCCTGTACTACACTACCCATGATTCACCTGATGCTGTATTTGCTTCAATCGCATTTCCTATTGGCCATCTAATTGCTAGACCCCTCTAAACCACAATTGCATTTTTCAAGGTGAAGCCGTCTGTCTGTCTGCGGTCAGCGTCCATCACTCACGGTGTTTAATACTCCATTTTCTTCTCTCGGGACATTAATTGCCCATTTTACCTCACTTTACCGTATTTATAGGCTATAGATTCATTATATCTGGCCTCTCTCTCCTCTATAGTACATTATTCAGTATTTACATTTAATTTCCCCTTTTTTATATGTGATTAAAAACCTAAAATTTTTTAATTAGTGCTTTCAGACTATTCACACCTCAAGACAGTGTGTGCGTTTTCGTGATTCCTCTAGACTTTCCGTTCGTCCTCACCATGACTTCCACGTGTTTAGTAAGCTCTTTATGTCTATAAAATTAAAATTGGGTGCGTTGTGTTTAGGGGTGTGCGAGTATTCGAACATCGAGCTTTTTCGAGCCGAATAGGACGCTATTCGGCTCGGCTCGTGATTTTCAAAAAGTTCGAAATGTTCGAGCCGAATACTTATTGAACTACTGTAGCAAATAAAAATTAAATTAATAAATAAGGAACTAACTTTCATTTAAATTTACTCTCCTCCGTTTCATAATTGTGTCTTGATAAGCACGAACCTCAGCTCAGTCAAGACGCAATGATTATCGATCCTAATTTTGAGGAAACTACCACCTATTGCGTTGTCTTTCTAACACAACTATTCGTATCGTAATATGCAACGCAGTGCGAGTGCGTGATTGGCTAAGTCGCTATGACGACACACGGTTGCCGTGGCAACCTACAGTGCGCACTGAGCACTGCGCCTTGTGTGGGAGGGGAGATTATACCAACAAACTATTTCAGGAATTCTATTTTGGGACGGATGAAAGATAAGGAAGAAACAAAAAGTGGTCACGTGTGCAAATGTAATGGGCGAGACAATAAGGCTGTAATCGTCGTGTCGTTGTTCCTTGTTTGTTTACTTTTTCAGATTCCTTATCAAACTCCTTATCATCAAACTTCCTTATCTGCTATCTCTCTTTTTCTCTCTCTCTCTAACAATGTACTGATTAAACAGATTGTGTTTGACGACTTTTCTACTTATAAGTTTCCCTGCGGTTATTTTAGTTCAATCAATCCCATAACCTTTCTAATGTTTATCAAAATAATTAATTAATATGTTTTGTATTTTATTTCCTTTAAACCAACCCCTATTTACCATCTGTATTTTATAGAATAAAATGTTTGTTTAGGCCTATAAAGTTTGACTGGCCACACAATTTTGTACCTATTTTATTTTTTATAAAGTAACAGTTACTTTGAGGATTATATATATATATATATCAATAAGTGGCGCGTGCTGTAATGAATGCTTTTTATTATCAAAATAAGTAATGAGTTATTAATTTTTGATAGTACATGGGTCATTGAATACCATAATGTGATGTAGTTTCCTATTTGTATCTTGCAAATAAATAATAATTGATAGTTAATTCTGGAAATGAAAAATAGTGATCGCATTCATAAACCTGTTGTCAAAACAGCAACGAGGGTGTAAGGGTTTATTGTTTCAGACGCAAGGGTGTTTCAAGGACAAAGTGTTGGGCCACCCGGATTGGGGGGGAGGGGGGCGGTGAGACTGTGTGAAGGGGAGGAAACTGGTTTTGGCTATTTATTGATTAGTTCGCCGACCCTTCTAGATAACAAAATTGAGTGACAGTGTTAAATCATCGTGTTCTGCATTTCATTTCTTGTTTACTTTGTGTGTTATTCTATTAATTCTAGTGCTTTGGTTATTAATTCTAGTGCTTTGGTCTATTTCCTCTATATGTCAATTATATATTTTTTAATATATAAGTAAAACTTGTCTCTCCACCTTTTTGGATCCAAACCAACCATGTTCTTTTTTGATTAATAGGATTCATAAAACAAAAATATTTTGTGCATGGAAAACAACAAGAATAATCACGTGTTTTTAAATTTATTTTGTATTTATTTATACAAAATAGAATTAAATATTCATAGTAGCCTAGTTACAATATACATATGTAATCGACTTGCTAGTTGTTTTGTCGTCATTCAAGGTCGCGTTGCTGTTCTGTTTTGAAAGACAATCTGATTGTCTTTGTCTCAGTCTGCACTGCATATCTCTTCAGGCCTTTAATCGATATCCTTTTATTTCTTGCATCTTCATTTAGTTCAGTTCAGTTCTTATCGTGATTATCTACTATTTTATGTCTTGACAATTCTCAATGTTTTTAAACATATTAAAATAACATTGTGTTTGTTTAAAAATTGACTGAACATTATTATTATTATGCACTTTTTTAAGAAAAAAAGTTTAATAATTAAGATAAGGTTACGCTAGGAAAAGCTCGGCTCGAAAAAGCTCGAGCTCGAACATTTTTTAAAAAGCTCGGCTCGGCTCGGCTCGAGGTTCAAAATCACTATTCGCACACCCCTAGTTGTGTTCTACAAATTTGTAATTTCTACAAAACAGAAAATCTCGGTCCAAAGGACTCCGCCATCGCTCTGCCATAGACGACGCCGCTGCCATCCTCTCCACACATTTCGATAATTGGACTCAAGGTACAACTTTAAAGTTTTGTGTGAGATTTAATTAGACTTTAAAATATCTCATTTGCCCCTCATAATAAATGTTGTTCCACCTTGGTGCACCTCGGAACCTCAAGTGCCCTATAAATCGCAGATCGGCCATTTTCTCTAATTTTGTTATTTTCTCTTGAACTAGTAAGTTCTATATAAAAGCTACTTACAGTCTTCGCAATCCTGTAAATTGAGCACTACGGCCGTTTCGGAGATAACTCCATCGTCGGGTGCGTAGTCATCATACACTAATCTGAACTATTTACATATTTACATTTTTTACGTGGTTTCTTCATTTTCATTGCGTCAAAGTTTAATAAATAGTACATACAACACAAAACTTTGACTTAGTGCTCAATTTACAGGATTGCGAAGACTGTAAGACGCAATCTGCCACACTGATTAATCTAGTAAGTTCTGGTCCTACGAACTATTAAACTTTTCAAATCAACAATTTAACCCCCGAACATTTGATCCTTCGAGCCGGATTCCTTGTCTTCCAATTCAATTCCTTTGACCATAGTTCTGGTATGATGTTTGTAGAAAGTCCCTTTTTTTGGAATGTACAGAGGGTGCCTTTTATCCTCTTCAGCGTCTAGTTTTTTTTTCCCCAACAGAGTTTTCTTTGACAGCCAATGAACTAACGTTGCATCCGAATCTTACGGCTCGCTTCTTTAGCACGTCAGCGCTCGGACCCTCAAATTTGATTATTTTATTTTTGTAAATTTTCGTTGAGATAACATTTTTTATTTCCTGGGTCGTTGCCATGCCGAACCTTGCTGCACGAGCTTCTTTCTTTGCCTCTACAGATAGCGGGACACCAAACTTCTGAGCTCTCATTTCTAGCCGCTTTTGTACATGTCCTTCCTCCGGTTCGTCTTCTAGGCCAATGCCATCACAAGAACATGACGCCATGATCTTTTTCTTGAAAGAACTCCATTTTCACGTTTGGCTACACCCAGAGGCATACAGCTTTTAAGATTAATGAATGACAATCAGTTCACCCATATTTGATGTTTTGCATTAAAATCACCCCCCGCAATAACCCAGATTATGAAACTTTAGAAGAAGATAATGGGAGAAGCTCCAGGAGCTCCCTTTCAAGAGAATTTCAACCAGTGATGTTCTTAGTGATGGCATCAGCCTAGAAGACGAACCGGAGAATGGATCTGTACAAGAGGCTCCGGTGAATAAAACTAGTGAAGACCCAGAATATTATGAACTTTAGAAGAAGACAATGGGGGAAGCTCTAGGAACTCCCTTTCAAGAAAGAGATCATGGCGAAAGAGAACATGATCTTAGTGATGGCATCGGCCTAGAAGAAGAACCGGAGGATGGACATGTACAAAAGCACCGTAGTTGTAACACCGCAGTTAATGATATGACCGTGGCTTTGGCAAAAAAATTGCAACAAGCTCAAAACTATTGTATTAGATTTTTATATGATCTTTGACGAGATGATCACGTCACACCATATTATATTCATTCTTCTCTTTTAAAACTGTCTGATGTTAGAGACATACGAATCATTAATTTAACTCATTGGGCCATCAATCTCAAAATTCCAAATTATCTTGCGAACAATTTTAGATTTTTGAACGATAGAGGTGCAAGAAATACTCGTTCTGGCTCATCAACTCTGCAAATTCCTCGCCACAAAACAACTGCCTTTAATAAATCATTTACAGTAACAGCATGCCGCCTTTGGAATTCCCTACCCAACTCCATCAGGTACTTAGAATCCCGTTCCAGACTGACGGCGGCGCTGAAAGCATACTACCTTGATCGGATGACCGTGGCTTGGCAGGATAGCGTGTGTTAGGCCTAGGTGTGGCAGAGAGTGAATGTGTGTGAGTGAATGTGATGTTTAGGGATTAGGATTCTATTATTTTGGTTTTTAGTTTTATTTGGTTTTGAATTTAAAATCATTGTTTCTTAAGAAAATCATTGTTTAGTTTATATTTAGATTTACGAGGTTAACTGTAAGAAAGGACCATGTGGTCTTAATTGTTCGCCTCAATAAATA